CTGTGGGCAGGCATCACCTCTCATTCTCCCAGTAAGCCTGTGAGGGAGCTGCCTTTGTCCCCCCACCCCCACCTCACCCCCCAAACACACACACACACACTATACGAGCTTAACTGGGCTCTGTGTGTGTCTACTTGCTAAATCTGGCAACCCTACCCCGTAGAGAAGGGGAGACTGAGATTCTGAGTGGTCAGTGACTTGCCCAAGGTCACACAGGGAACCAGCGGCACCGCTGGCCCTAGAACAGGTGTGTTCCTGTTGGGGCTGGGCGAGCCGCTGAGGCCCTTTGGCACAGGTCTGGAACGAGGTCATCTCAGTGAGTGGCGACAGTTTAGTGAGGAAATCAACAAGTGAGTGAGTGAATGAGTGAATGAAAAGGCTGTTTAAGGGACTCTGCCCTTGGGGAGATGTGGGAAGGCCACAGGCCTTTCCACAGTCACCCCCTCAGGGAAGACTCCTGAGATTAATGGCCTGCAGGAAAAAGCCCATCTTACCTGCCCCCAGAATAAGGGTCCCCAACTTTCTGGGTCCCAGGAATACCCCTGGCTGTCTCAATTCCCCCCTCCCCCCATCGCCCACAAGGAGCACTGAGAATACCTCTTTTGGTCTGCCCCCATCCCCAACCAGAAGCCAGAGGTCACCCTGGCCTAGTCCTCACTGCCTTCTAACTGCACCCTTGCCCAGGCAGAACTCCAGGTTGAGAACTCCAAGGGTGGAGGTGGGACAGGAAAAACGCTGGTCTCCCCACCCATCCCCTCTGCAGCTCACTTTGGGGAGCCCCTGGGGTGGGGCAGTGCACACTCCTCCAGTTGGCTCCAAGGAGCTTTGGGAGGTAGGGTGCTGGAGCCCCCTGCTGGCCAGGTGGCCCCCACCCCGTGGGGAGGGGGAGGAAAGGTTCTTCATTCATTCAACAAATATTGATGAAGCCCCTACTATGTGCCAGGCCCTGAGTTAGGCACCGGGGCTCAGCAGAGAACACACACAGACCCTCCTTCCTGATGTCTGTGGTTCCACGGAGGAGGTGGCTGGTGTCTGTGTGTCATGTGCCCTTCCATGCTCCCGAGGACTGTCCTCACCCCTGGGAAACTGAAAGCTCCCCGTAGGCAGAAGCTGTGCCTCCCCCGTGAGACTTGGCATTCCCCAGGGTATGCTTGTGACATCCCCACTAGGCCTGGGCTCCCAGGTCTAGAAAACCTGACATTCCTAAGAAACCTCTCCTCTCACTCAGAGCCTCCCTGAGCAGGGTTGCCAGATAAAATATAGGATGCCCAGTTAAACTTGAATTTCAGATAAACAAGAAATAATTTTTAGTTTAACTATGTCCCAAATATTGCATGAGGTATACTTAAACTAAAAATTATTCCTTGTTTATCTGAAATTCAAGTTTAACTGCGCTCCGTGTGTTTCTACTTACTAAATCTGGCAACCCTACCCCAGAGCTCATTCTTTCTGTCACCTGGCCTGGCCAGATGGCCCAGGTCATGCCTGGACATGGCCCCTGCCTGCCCAGTCGCAGCTCCTGTTGGCCCCCAGGACTCCTGTCCTCCCCCACCATGCCCTACCTACAACCCTAGCTCCCAGGTGGACACCCTCCTCCACCTGGCGTACACAGTTCAAGAATGCTACTGAGCCTCCTGCATGATGGACCCAGAGAGAGGGGGACAGAGCCACAGCTGTAGAGGACTGTGTGTATCAGAGACTGAGAGAGATAGAGACACAGAAATAAAGGGACCTAGAGAGTGAGCAGACAGTGACAGCAGGAGAGAGCCAAGACGTAGAGAGACAGAGAGCTTAAGGCCCCCTGCCCAGGACTGCTCCAGGGAGACCAGGGCAGGGGCTGGAGGGTCCCAAGAGCCCACCAGGGTTTGCCCTGAGTGGATCAGGGCAGAGGCTGGGCCCCGGGACTCTGGGCCCTGGACAGACAGGCCCTAGGAGTCAGCTCGGGGTCTCCTGCTCCGGTGGTCAGGGGTGGGCGTTCTCCCCAAGCCCTGCTGCTCTCCCCTCGCCCTGCCTCCCAGGGGCAAACACAGGGACATTCATGGCTTCCCAGAAGGGCCCATGGGGCAGCCAGAGTGGCTTTTAAAATTAGCTCCGCTAACCAGATCTGGTTATTTCAGGAGGTTCCGTCCCTGGCTGTCCCCTTGGCAGGGCGGTTGCAGGGAGGGACCTCCACATTCCAGGGTCCCTGGTTAAGCACCCCTGTGGCCTGAGCAGCAGAGAACTTCCAGGTCCTAGTCCCTTGGCACTGGGCGGGCCTGTGCCTGTGGCTGTCTCTTTGGCAAAGTGGCCCCAGGGTAAGCCATGGACATCCAGGGACAACCCAGCTGGGGTAGGGGTGGGGGGACAGGGGCGGGCCCCTCCTATTGGGCATGGGTTCTATGCTAGGTACTTTAGAGACCATGACAGCCTCCTCGTAGCAATAGGTAGGGCTTTGCCCCCATTTTACAGGTGAGGAAACTGAGGCCTAGAGGGACAGGTCCCAGCTCTGAAGCGGGGAGATGGAGATGACGGGTCAGCCGGGCACCCAAGTCCCTTCACGGGAGGCCTCTTGCCTCCTGCGTCTGGAGAAACCTCTGGCTGCTGTTCCCACCACCAGAGTTATTTCGGAGTCCAGCACTTTCCGGAACCTGGTGCCCCCCACCCAAGCCCTAACTCCAGCCTTGGGGCAGTGTCCTGGCTCGCCCTCCTCACCTCAGAACCCAGGGCAAGCATGGAGCTGGCGCGGGAACAAGAGAAACAGCACTGGATACTTTGATCCCAGAGGCCAGACTCGTCCTCAGCCCCTCTAGCCCCACCTTGGAGCCTAGAGGAGGGTTGGGAAGGGTGGGGGCCCGGCTGAACCCAGCCCAGAGGCTGCCCTTCCCACAGATGGGGACTGGCACAACCTGGGACAAAGGCAGGTACTGCTCACCAAGCTGCCACAACAAACCCCAGAGCTCTGGCTCAGCTGCAGGTCAGAGCCGTGGGCTGGGGCAGATCATGAAGTAAAGGGGTACAAGTGGGGGTGCCCGAGCTCTTTTATAAAAAGATCATCAACCCCAGTAAAAGCAGAAAGCTGAAGGTCAAGGAAGCAACTGACAATCGTCCATCGCAAAGCCTCACGTCAGACGTCTGGGTCGGGCCGGCACCAGTGACTCCATCCTCCACCCCGAGTGACGATCCCACACCTTTTGATGTGGGTTACGGATGTGGTCCTTATTCATGGCTCATCACACCCCGCCCCCATACGCACTATTTTTGGTGCTCACCCTGGGCCAGGGCTTCACCAAGAACTTTATGAAGTATCATCACCTTACTGAATCCTCACCTTGGGGTACCAAGGTCAGGACTGTTAGCATTCCCACTGTACAGATGAGGGAACGGAGGCCCGGCGAGCCAGTCACAGAGCTAGGCGAATGACCTCAAAGCCAAGCTCCTGACCTTAGTGCTGAAATGTGGCTGCTGGCCCTTTGGGGTGGGCTGGGAGGAGACAGGTGAGAGACTCAGGCGGAAGAGTTCTGACAACCAGGATCCAGGAGGGGCCATGAGGGTTAGACAACAGGGGTGAGGCTGGGGTTAGGAGGGGACCCGTTGAGCCCAGGGCAGTCTAGAGCCACACTGAGGGGGGGGGCAGGGGTTTTGCTGTAACAGCCCCTGGGTGGCCCCAGACATCTGAGGGTCACAGAAGGGCCTTGTCAGGAAAAGCATGGCAGCCCCTGGGGATACTGGGCATTGTCCTGGGGAGGGTGTGGGGCTGGGGGAGGGTGGCTGCAAAGCTGTCGGGAAGGCCAGGGCTGATCCCACTGGACCCCAATTCTGTGCCCACCCCCAAGCCCAATATCCCAAACCTGTTCTTTCTCCCATCCTCCTACCTCAGAGAAGACAACCCCCTCACCCAATACCCAGGCTGGATCACTGAGAGTCTCCTCAACCCCTCCCTCAGTCCCACATCCCATCAGGACCTTGATCCGGGTGCTCAGACCTCCCAACACCTTCCGGGCCACCCTTTGTCCCCAACAGTCTCCTTAATCCGCCCATCCCTGCCCTGACACCGTCCAGCCAGTCTCCACCAGCAGACCCTGCTTCTCTTTTTCTGGGTCTCCCTGTTTCAAACCCTCCATGGCTCCCCGTGGCCCTCAGCATCAAGTCCTAGCCTCTTGGTCTGACATTCAAGGCTGCATGGCCTCTAGCTTCATCTCTGTCCGTCTCCCTGTCCCCTCCATGATCACCTTCCCATCATTCAGAACTGTTTGCTAGCTTCGCAATTCCAGGCACTGTCTCCCCTCCATACCGTTGCCTCTATAATCCCTCCCCCAGGGACACTTTGCTAAGCCTTTCCAGGACGCTCAGGTACCACTGCTCCAATCGTCCCCTGTGCCTCCCTCATCTAAGCTGGGTGGGCTCCCTGCTCCTGTGGACCCATGTCACTCATCACCCTTTACTGTAACTGCCCCGCACTGTGAGCTCATTCCAAGCGGAAGGAACTCAGCCCCAGCTGTCCCAGTAAGTGATCCCTCGTCGCCCCCTGGTGGCCACATAAGGGAACGTCTTGGCTTCACTGAGCATGAGCGAAAAGGAAGCTGATGGTAGAGCACCCACGGTGTGCTGTAGGGGTTTGATACGCACCAGCTCAATGAATCCTCCTAACAAACCCTAGGGGGAGGTACTATTGCTCTTGATCTCCCATCTTACAAAAGTGGAAACTGCAGCTCAGAGACGTTAGTGTTTCCCAATGCCATCCAACTAGCTGACGGTGCCAGGACTCAAACCTGGGTTTGCGATTCCACGCCACGTTCTTCTCCATGTGGAGAAACAGCGGACAGGCTGGAGGAAAGGGCAGCGCCGTGGGGAGGAAGCCAGGACTGGTGGTCCCAGGGCCCGTGGTTTGGCCTTGGAGGTGCCCCCAGACCCAGCAGCTCCGGTGGGGGAGGGGAGACAGGCTCCCCTCCCCCTTGGTACCACTGAGACCTGTCTGGGGTCAGTCTAGGCAGGGTTCATGCAAAGCCAGGTCCAACTCAGGGTACAATAGTGATAAATAGAATTTATTTTGTACAACTGTTACCAACATACACACGGCCACAGGGGCTTCCAAAATGGGTGTTGGGGCTGGAAGGCTGGCGTGGCGCCTAAAAAGTGTGGACAGACACACACAAGGATGTGGGCTCACAGCAGCTGTGCCTGGCTGCCCCTCCATGGGAGTGAGTGGGGGGGTGCACAAAGGCAAGACCTGTTACTCTAGGCCAGCCGAGACCCCTCAGCCTGGAGCGCCCAGAAGATGGGATGGCAGGGGTGAAGCTGGGTGCTGGCCAAGGAGCCAGGTAGGTCTCCCTTTCCCCCACAAGGGGGTCACTTATCTGTCATATGGAGGCAGTGGACAGGGCATCAGCTGATCTAGGTAGAGCTTGAGGGTCCAGGAGGGGCAGTGGGAATAACCAGCCCCTCAGCCCACCTGGGGCCCCCGGGATCCATGAAGCAGGGTGGGGTGATGGGAGGCCCCTGAGAGGACAATCCCCCATTCTGGGGCAGGTGCATGGAATCACAGTCTTTAGTGACCTCTGACATAACCTTGTCCATTGATAGCAGAGGCGCCCAGAGAGGGAAAGGGACTTGCCCAGAGTCACACAGCAGGACCCTAATTGGAAGCCAGGACTCAGGACTCCCAGCCCAGTGCTCACTCCACCACATCTCCCATCCCACTGCCTGCAGGCTCCGTATGCACTGAGATCTCACACTCTCCCCCTCCCATCTCGCTCCCCCTGAGACCAGACGGGCACCAAGGTGTGATGAAGGGCCCAGGTGGGGGTAGGCCAGGCCTGGAGTCCTGCTTCAGCTGATCACTCCCTGCCCCAGCTCAGTCCCCCAGTCCGGGGTGTGAGGGTAATGCCAGCAGCGTCCCTGCTCCCAGGCCTGGATGGCTCCACCCTGTAGAGACAGCCCAGACAGTGGGCCAAGGGGAGGGATGGGGAGACAGGGGGCAGTCCACAGGCTGGTGGTGGCCTTGGGGGCAGAGGTCCTGTCTGCCTGGATTTGACACAGCATCTTCACCTTGTGCTTCTGTGGCCTCACCTGCAGGGTAAAGGGAGATGGAGGCACCACGAAGCAGGGAGACAGACACGGGCAGGGGCCACCCTTGGAGTTCCAGGCTCTGGGTCTTTCCATCCCACTGGGAATCCCCCGGTCCCCTCCCTCCCAGCAATTCCCAAGTCCCTTTCAGTCTCCCATCAAATCCTCCCAGCAACTCTAAGGCAGAGGTGAGGCAGCGCTGATTAGCCCCATTGCACAGATAAGGAAATTGAGGCCCAGAGAGGGGCCAATGACCTGCCCAAGTCACCCAGTACCTGAGTGGCAGAGGATTTGAACCCAGATACATAGCTCTTAGCCCAGAGAGGGGACAGAGGAACAGGGAGGAGTTGGCCCATCCCAACCCCCACTCCCACCCTCTCCCCACCAAATAGGAGCTGAGGGCTGGGTCTGACCTGCTCAGTCACCTTCCGAGGGGAGCCCGGCTAACAGCCCTGCACAGACAGAGAATGGCGGCGAGGCAGAGGACAGGGCAGAGGACAGTGGGGAGCAGGAGACACAGGTAAGCAGAAGTCACTGGCTGTGCCCAGGCCGGACGAGCCCAACCCCTCCTGGCCTAGGGGGACCTCTAGGTCCAGTCCCCACCCCTGGCTCCCCGCAGCGGCTGCACGCACGTACCAGCTGGGGTGTGTGCTGCTCAGCCGCTTCCAGCTGGATCTTGATCTCCGGACATGCAGGGTCCCCCGACTTGCCAGCGTCTGGATGGGATGACCGCGAGGGGCCTGGGGAGGGGGGCAAGAGGGAGCCACCTCACTGGCCGCGGGGAGGCACCAGGGAGATGGGCATGGATGGGCGGTCGGCACTGGTGCTCCCCAATCCCGCCAAGTCCCTCCCCCAGGGAGCCCCACCCTAACTCCCTGCTTTACCTCCCAGTCATCCTCCAAGACCCTTCCAGAAGCCACCAGCCCTCCAAGCCACCTAGTCATCTTAGGCTGGATATTGACCCACCCGCTGTCCCCTATGTCACATGCCCACCCACCACCTGGGGCTTGAGAAGTGGCCTCTACCCTCTGTGCCCAGCCCCGACCCCTCCTACCACGAGAGTGGCCCTGCTTGGAGGGGGAAGCCACCCCTGGCCTGGTACCTGGGGAGCTGCCCCCACTCGTGGTGCTGACACTGTCCTCCAGCCACGTGCTATAGATGAAGGAGTCGCGCTTATGGGGCGTCCCTGAGGACGAGATGCTTTCCTGGGGATGGAGGGAGGAGAGAAAGAGGGAGATCAGCCCTCTTCCGCGGCACAGCTTGGCTCCTGTCCCCCTCCAGGGCCCCTCCCCCCCTGCTTCAGTCTATAATCCCCCACCCTTGTCCCCCTGCAAAGAGGATGGGGGCCCCAGGGAGACCACAGGACAGAGTGAAAACAGGCAGTATGCATTCCCATTTGTTCATTCAACGAACATTCACTGATCTTCTCCTGGGCCAAGCTACCGAGAGACACGGTGCATGGTCTCTGCCCTCAGACAGCGTGACGCCTGGGGAGCAAGACGACTATGAAGAGACTGTCATAATTCTAGACCCTACGCCCCATCGGGCAGGGCCTGGGTCTGCACTGTCCCCTGCTGTCCCTGCAGCACCTGGAGCAGGACCTGGCAGGGAACAGGTGCCCACGAAACGTGTGTCGAATGACGAATGACCAAGGGTGCTAAAGGGCAAAGCCCAGGGTTCTATGAGAGCATAAAGAGCGGTTCCTAACCTAGCCTGGGACTAGAAAATCAGGGAAGGCTTTCAACAGGGGGTGATGTGAGGCTGAGCCAAGAAGGATGAGCAGGAGTCAGTCAGACAAAGGGGAAGGAGGAGGCAGTAGGGCATTTCAGACAGAAAATGGCACGTGCCAAGGCCCAGAGGTGGAGTCAGCCTGGTACATGTAGGAGACTGCGAAGGAGTGCAGAATGGCTGAAGCGGTAAGGGATGAGGCTGAGGAGGAAGGGAGGGAGAGAGCGACTAGATCTTCAATGGTCTCAGAGATCGGGTTCTTTGGGGGTGCACTGGGGAGCCATGGAAGGCTTCAGAGTCGGGGAGGGGTATTCTGCATGATTCCTTTGGGCTGGGTCTCCTGATCCCATCTCAGCCACACCCAGGCTCATGCTTCTACCCAAAGCGTCTCCAGGGACCAAAGAGCCCCCCCTTGCAGGCCACTATGCAGAACCCCTACTCCTGGGCCTCTCACCAGGCCAGTGTCGTCTCCGTCCACACCCTCCGTCTCCTCCACCACGCTGGCGAAGCTGCTGGCACTGGACGAGGAACGGGAGAAGTCCTTCAGCACTTCCGCTCTCTGGGCTGCTGTCTCCGCTCTGCCACAGACAGCATCCCATCAGCCAGCACCCACTCAGGGCCCCTCCTGGCCCAAGACCCCAGGGCCCTGCCCTCCCAGCCAGAGGCCCGCCTGCAGCCGGCCTGGCACCTTGGTGGTGGCTTCATAGCTCCCTAGGCCTCCTTGCCGCCTCCCGCCACTGTCCGTCCTAATGTGGATTGGATCGTGTCCCTCCCCTGCTCAAAACCCTCTCCTGGGTCCCCGTATCCCTGGATAAAGTCTAAGTTCCTTGGCTTGGTGCTCAATAATAATAACTATTAATAACACTGTCATCTAGCGCACGTCTGCTCTGTGCCAGGCCCTGTTCTAAGTGCTTTAACCCAAGTTCTCTCATTGCTATCATTATTAGACCCATCTTACAGATGAGGAGACACTGAGGCACAGAGAGAGTAGACACGCAGCCCCAAATCACCCAGTCATAGGTGGGAGAACAGGCAGGACCCAGGCCTTCCAACTCACAGTCCGCTCTCTTCGCCCTGCCACAATTTTGTCCCATGCTCGGGCCCTTTGTGATTCTTGCCTGGAGTCTCACTCTCCCTCAAATCCCAAAAGGAGCAAATTCATGTTCAAAAATCAGCCAACGGCCCCCTCCACCGGGAGGCCCTTCGTGTTTCCTCCTCCCATGGTAGGTGACCCTCCCCGCTCTGGGTCCTGCGTGCCTTGTCTCTCGTCATCCCTGTCTCCCTTTCCTGTTTCACTGTTCACCTGCCTGACTCTTGAGTTTTCTTGACGCCCCCAGAGCCAGCAGAGAGGGGACTCTACCAACAAGTGCTGAGTGGAGGGGCAGCCTGCTTGCTGGCGTCCCTGCTTCCATTCTTGTCTCTGGCCCTTCATGTGGGTCTGGCCCCTCACGCATTTGGCTCTAATGTACTGCCTTTCTTTCTATCCTTCAAGCATGCCTCAGGGCCTTTGCACTGGCTGTGCTTCTCACCTGGAAGCCTCTTCCCTCTGCTATGCCAGTCCTGCAGGGCTGACTCCTCATTCAGCTCTCGATTCGAACCTCACCCCTATGTTGATGTCTTCCCTGGGCACCCAAAAAAACCCCTTACTACCCAGTCATTCTTCGTTGTATCCCCAGCTTTGTTTTTGTCTGAATATCGCTATCTGGAAATAGCTCATTAGGTTATGTTACACTGGGCCACCACTCCAATGAGGCAGGGGCCATGTATGCCCAGGTCACCGCTGTATTTCAGAGCTTGGCAGCAGGTGTGTGTCAAAGGAAGACCTGTGAGAATGCCCAGGCCTCGCCAACGCCCTGGTGTGGCAGTGTCAATGCTACTGGCAGCCCAGGCCCAGGCGGGGATGAAAAGAATGAGCCCACCACCCACAAGCTCCCAGCCTGATGCGCCCCAAGCCCCAACCTGTTCTTGGTCGTGGGCATCTCTGGGGAGCTCTGAGTAGAGGAGTTCTCTGACTTGGGCTCCTGCGAGACGTGCCCGCTGTCTGGGGTCTTCTGGCCAGCCGGGGGACTCTCCCTGCGGGGCACATGGGGGCAGCAGGGGGGTTCAGCACCGGGCCTGGCATCAAGGGTAGAATGAGGCTCACGTGCTGAGAGGAGGGCATGGGTGCCTCCTGCCTCGTACTCATACCCTCTATCCTCAGGGGCCAACCCCAAAGCAGTCTCTGTGGCTCCCTGGCCAGGCCTGGGCAGGCACCGTGGAGCACCTACATAAGACAGGACACCCCCAAATCCTCCTCTCCACAGAAGCAGGTATAATTACCCCCTGTTATGCATCAGGAAACTGGAGTCCAGAGATGGGAGGGAACCTGCCCAGGTATACACAGTTAGGACATGGTGAAGCCAGGACTCGAACCCAGGATTTGCAGGATTCTGGGCTATCTTGGCCACGGGGATAGCGCCAGCACCCTTCCTGAGCCTGTGCACCCACCACCCTGCTTCATATGCACTGCACCGCACCCCCCGCAGCATGCTGTTGGTTATGTTCTTATCCTCATTTTTCAGACTGGGACAGAGAGGCTCAGAGAGGTACAGTGACTTTCCCAAGGTCACACAGCCCCTGTGTGGTAAAGACAGGACTCACACCCAGGAACTAACCTCTACTTCTCAGGGGCTGCCCTGCTGCTAATGCAGTGAGCTGCCTGTCCCCACAGATGCACTCACAGACCCCCACAGACCAGGCAGAAAATCGCAGCTCCGCCCCTCACCAGCTGTGTGCCCTGGGCTAGCCCCTGAACCCCCTGACCTACAGCATCCTGCTGTGCAAGATGTGGACCCCAGGGAGCCAGCAGAGCTGCCGGTGGATAAAAACAGTTCACGATAGGTGACGAGCTGGCCCTGGTGCCTGGTGCACGGCAGGGACTTGGCAGGGACTTGACCGTCCAGCTGTCACCGGAGGGGGGCAGAGAAGCAGAAGGGTGCTCCCTCCTACCTGCTTCGCCATGCCACTGAATGGGGGTCAGGGAAGGGGTCGGAGGAGACACAGACCCAGCCGCCCCGCCCCACCCACCTTTTCTCCTGAACCTCCTGTATGTTCTCGATGCCGATGGCACTGCTGCGGCGCGAGCCGAACGGGCCTGACTTCTTCCTTGTGGGGCTCTTCCCAGGGACAATCAGTGACTGCGGGGAGAGGCCCCAACTCAGTGCCCACCTGCTCTGGGAGCCCTGGTGTCCCCCACATGCCACCATGGGCCCTGTTGCCCCAGGCCCTGAAGCAGAGGCAACGAGCAAGAAAGAATGAGAGACAATGTCCATCTCCAGAGACAGGCCTCCCAGTTTACAGAGAGGGAAGCAACAGGTCCAGTGAGGGCCCAGGTCACACGGCAGGGCTGGGCCCGAGGGTGCTGGCAGCCACTCTGGGCCGGGATGGGAGGAGGCCAAGTCCTCAGGATGGCTCCCCGCCCCCACCCCAGGGCTTCATGGGACCTGCAGCCTAAGGGCAGTGGGGAGAGAGTGGGCATAGCAACCGAAGCCCCTGCCCCATGCCAGCGCTGCCCTGTCTCAGAATCTCCAAACTGGCTGGGAGAGGTTCTGGGCCAGCAGTTGGCAGATACCCCCCCGTTTCCATACACACTAGGGTGGGATGCCACAGGCACCAGAAGCATGCCCCCAGCTTCTCTGGGCAGGCAGGAAGATGGGCCCCAGGGGGTATGGAGGGGCAGGAACCCCCAGGCTGGTTCATGGTGGAGAGAGGGAGTCAGGGCAGACGAAAGGGATGGCGCTTTGTGCAGAACCAGCGATATTGGGGGACGTGCGGCTGGGCATAGGGTCTTTGGGTACCAGATTCTTGTAGGGACTGGGGCAGGGTTCCAGGGGCCAGGGCAGGGCCAGAAGCCCCTGGCAGGGGGCACTGGCTCTGGCACAAGTACCAGGCCCCAAAGCAGGTGCTGAGCGCCATCAGAGCTGCCGGCACTCCATCCTGCACACCCTTGGGCCTGTCCCAGGGAAAGGAAGCCAACGTCCCCAATATGGCCTCCGTCCTGAGAGCGAGCAGAGAAGAGCGCGTGCAGGCAGCCTCCAGAGCCGGCAGCCCCGCGGGCGACAACCTCTTCCACGGTTCCTATGCCTATGGCACTGCCCCGGCGTCCGAATCTACTCGAATTTTTCCCAGGAATAAGCAATGACTGGCAAGCAGCAGAGGGCAGGGCAAAGACAGACAGACAGACATAGAGAGAGTCAGAGAGAGAAAGAGATGGCAAGGAGACACAGAGAGATGACGCAGGGAAAGAAGGGAAAGACAGACAGAGAGAAACAAATAAGAGTGGGGCAGGGGGTTGGGAGAGAGAAAGACGAGGCCGTGGAAGGGAAGGAGAGAAGAGGAGGAAGGAGAGACAGAGGGCGGAGGAAGGAGAGATGGTTATACAGACAGGGACACACGGGGGTGGGGTTGGGGGTGGGGGGGACAGACACAGGAGATGGGCACAGAGTGAAATACAGACAGACAGATGCAGATGGGCCCAGGGAGAAAGCAGTGGGACCGAGGAGGGAAGGGAGTAAAAAGAAAGGTGCCAGAGGGGAGAAAAACGTAAATGTGCAAGAAGGCGGAGAAAGGCCAGGGCAAGTGGAGGGGGAGAGAGGACGGGAAGGAAGAACAGGGAGCGAGAGGAAGGAAAAGGAAGCAACATGAAGAGAGGAGAGAGTTGTGCAAAAAACAAAAACAGAAATGGGTCTGGTTACTGCCATGGTGGGTACTGCTGGCCTGGCCCTGTCCCTGGGTCCCTTCTACAGCCACCCACAGGAGGCTGGGCCACTCCAGGCAAGGAAGGGAGCGACTTATAAATCTGGGTTGACGGGAGGGTGGGCCTGTTTCTCCAAATGACAGTGGACTTGATGGCTGCTGGACAGCAGAGGGCCAGCCTTGCTCCCCTGGCCAGGCCAGATCATGGGGCAGGGATTGAGGGGAGGGGAGGTGTCCTTCCTGCCACAAGTGACACAGCCTCACAGTACTGAGCACAGGGCTTGGCATGCAGCAGTCAATAAATGATTGGGAGAGGGAGGGAGGGATAGATGGGAAGTGGGGAGCAGAGCCGTGGATGCAGTACCATGGGTGGCCACGAGGCGGCGGAAAGCAGCTAGGCCCACAATTGAAGGTCTTACCATCCTGTGTGCCCAGCACTCACAGCCCCCCCCCCCCCCCCCCGTATTAGTAGCAGAATCCCACAGAGCCTGGCAGACAGTAAATAATCACATAGTAGGTGCTCACTCAGGAGATGCTCACACAGAAGCCCAATTCCTGACGCACAATAGGTAGCCATAACCACAGAGGCCCTAGCACACAGTGGGTACTCACACAGCAAGCAGCCTAGGGCCCAGCACACAGAAGTAGGTGCTCATAGAGTGAATGCTCACACAACATCTCACTTCCTGACACACAGTGAGCATTCACTGATATCCAGGCTTAGCACACATTATGTGCTCATTCAGCAGTGCATTTCCTGACATACAGAAGGTTCTCACACAACAGCCCAGGACTGGGCACACAGTAAGTGCTTACAGACTTTATGCCCACACAGCAGCCCAGAACCTGACACACAGAAGGCATTCACAGAAACTCAGGGCCAGGCCCACAGTAGATGCTCACAGAGTACATGTCCACACAACAACCCAGGTCCTGACACACAGTAGGTCCCCACCAGCATCTCAGAGCCAGGCACACACAGGTGCTCACACAGAAATCCAGGTCCTGATACACAGTACGTGCCCACAGCCTGACACACAGTAGGTGCTACCAGAAACTCAAGGCTTGACAGTAGGTGCCCACATAGCAGCGCAATTCCCAGTACACAACAGACAGTAGGTGCTCAATAAGGAATGTGATATAGAGGCTGCCCTACATGTGAAAGTCACACCCGAATAAGGGGCCAGGAGGAGGGGAGGGCTGAGGAGCTGGGAAGGAGGCTGCAGGCTCTCAGCGCCCCAGTGTCATGGCCTGGGCAACTTGACCCCACGGACAGCAGTGGCTAGACCAAGTCTAGAGCCCAGAATGGGCAACCCTTGGACAGCAGGGCAAGCGGGGGAGGTGGGGCTAGGCCTAGCAGGCAGGGGAGAGCTGAGGGCCCCCAGTGGAGGGCACTCACTATTCCAGCCGCCTTGGCCAGGTCAGGGTTGTTGGGTGCGAAGCTCCCACTGTGGCTGGTGGACACGGTATTGGGCTTCTTGCTGCTTAGTCCCATGGCATCCATGGACTGGCTGCGGCTCCGGATGACCCTCTGTGAAGGTGGGGGTGGGGGTGGAGGAGGCACAGGCTTCATAAGCCCCCCACCTTGAGCCCAGGTCACTTCCCACCAATGCCACTCTTCCTAGGTGACCCCAGGAAGTCCCTACGCATGAGGCCACATGGTCTAAGGATAATTTGGGCCTTGGCTCTGCCGCCAACTTGCTGGGTGACCTTGGACAAGCCACTTCACCCCTCTGCCCCCCTGAGTCTCTCATGTGGTTGTTGTGACAACTGCAGAAAATACTGGGTCAGGGCCACAAGTATGCCCAGAGAGCCCTCCAGAAACCTCAGCTTCTTCCTTTTAGGAAAACATCTTAAAGCTTTTTTTCCCTTCTTTCTTTTCTTCCCTCCCTCCCTTGCTTTTTTCAGCCAGCCTATCCTGAATGCCATACTGAAACTACGGGGCCAGGTACTTCTTATATCCACCCTCTCCTTCAATCCGCCCCAGAGGGAGGCACTGTTACCATGCCCATTTCACACATGCTGAAACCAAAGGAGAGCTGAGTCTCAAACCCACATGCCAAACCCAAACCCGGAGCTGTGGGCTCTGCTGCCTGAGAAATTCTGTGACCTAAGCCGGGTCCACCCACCAGATGTGGAGCCACTGCAGCCCTCCCTCAAAGAAGATACCCCCGAGTCATGCTCGCCCCATCCATCCCTATCTCCAGTGGGCAGAGGCACGGCTCTCCTTAGGCGTCTTTCTCAAAGACGGTCTGTTCGCCTCAGTCCAGCACAGGACTGGGCAGCTGGGCTAATCTCCTCATGTGAACCCACATCTCCAGCTCTGTGGCCTGCCTGGGGTGAGGGTGGAGCACAACCGGCCTGGCTGAGCACCTGGAGGGTGGGCAGTCAGTCCTCCTGCGGGTGGAGGAGACAGTGGCAAAGAAGCCACCGCCTGGGGACCTGCCGCCTGGGGGCATCCAGGCCCTATCGGAGGAGAAATTGAAGTCCTCCTCTGCCTCTCACTTTGGACAACAAAATACAATAGTGTTTTTGCATTTTGCTGTTTAACTTATATTGCATAAATCTACCTGCTTTACAAATAATTCTCAACAATTGTATGATGTATGTTGCCATTACACTACCTGATCAATAAAGAAACTGAGGCTCAGAGAATGATCAAGCTGGTAAGTGACAGAGCTGGGATTTGAACCCAGGGAATCTCTGCTTTGAACACTAAGCTAAACCAGAGGCAGCCAGGGTGCGTCAACCTGGCTGAAGGTCACACAGGCCAGGTCCCCCTCCTAGAGCCACAAGGTTCACACACCCCTTCCAGGACCTGTTTCTTTACCTCCATCAGGATAGAGGCTGACTCGTCTCTTCTCCACCTGCTGACCAGGCAGCCACCACCCTTGGCACCAGAGGCACCTTGTTGCCACCCTGAGGTCTCCAACCTTCAGCAGACTCCCAGGCAGACTCCGCCCCCAAGCCTAGGCCCCGCCTCCAACCATTAGCTCCTCCCCAGCCACAGACCACGCTCCCATCCCGCTGCACTTCCAATGGGAGCCTGCCTCTAGCCACACCCCCTCAGCCAGTTCATAACCCCACCCCTGACCCCACCCCAACCATGTCCTTGCCCCTCCGCGCCCAGGTAGACCCTACCCTTCACCTTAAAAGACTCGAAGAAGCCGCCACCACCACCGCCGTTCTCCATCTTGTCCTCGTCACCGCCCAGGCCCATCATGGACTGGCTGTGGATGTGTAGCTCTTCATAGAGCGTCTCCAGGAGCGCGGCCCGTGTCCGTTCCTGTGGGCCAGGCCCAGGCCATGAGGACAGACCCCACTGATCAGCCCTTCGTCCCACAGTTCGAAACCAGGCCACCTTCTGAACGAGTGGGGAGAGGGCCTGGGTCCCGGGAAGCCTACGCGGGCTTCTCTCTGGCCCCTCCAAGATCTGGCCTCATGTCCCCACCCCCAGTTTCCCTGTCTCCCACGCAATCCTCTGTGCCAGTCTGTCCACCTCCCCGGCACTCGTCATGCATCCCTAGAAATGCCTTACGTCCCCTCCCTTGCCCCTAGCCCTACTTATCTGTAAATCCGCACTCCCCCAAGCAGCCCTCCCTCAGGCCAAGATCTGAACGTGGCTTTTCCCTTCCCAAAGGGCAGGGCTGAAATTCTAAGTTAGCAGGAGGGGCTCAGCCCGAACAGCCCATCCTCACCTCCAGTTTGGCAAACTTCTCCGCCTTGTAGCAGGCATATTCAGCATTGATCAGCTTTGTCAGCAAGAATTCCTGGAACTCAGGCCCCTGGGAGCCCCCAGTGTGAAGGAGAGGAAAAAGGGGGGTCAAGAGAACACAGAGACAAGGGGCTGTAAGCCCCAGTGTGTCAGGGGCCCGGGGAGTGGCCCTCTTCACCCCCAGGGCACCTTCTTGGGCTCAGTTTCCCGGCAACTGTGAGGGTCCCCTATGGCCTTCACGGCTGCCCACCCTCTGGGGAGCAAACCCCGTAGATTAAGGGGCTGAGTTGGGGGTCTCCTACTGCCTCCGTCTGGAGGGTGCTGAAGCCAAGGCTCCAAGTGTGGCTTCTGAGAGGTGAGAGAGACGTGCACCCCCTCCCCAAACATTTTGGAAGAAAGAAGACTATAATTGTCCAAAAGATAATATTGATAGAAATAAGGGAAGGCCACAGAGTTTGCTATGGAAAATGTAAAACTATGATATAGTTTATTCTGTGACTTTGTAAATAAAAGTTAGTTTTTATCAAGAGGAAGAGGAAAATGAGCCCCCGGTCCAGTTAGGGGAGCCCAGCTGCCCTGGCACACACGGGGCTTCAGGACCTCGTATGGCAGAATGTGTGCCCTCACCCAGTCCTGACCCATTGAGACCTGCTCTGCCCATGACCAGGCCTGGGGCTCCCCCTCACCTTCCTGAACACAGCGGGATCCGGGAGCGGGGGCCCAAAGAAGGGTACATCATCTCTGGCGGTGACGGAGACCTGGAAGAGAGGGCAGCAGTCCCTGTGGGGTCCCCACACCACCCTGAAACTCCTAATTCACCTCCCTAGCCTGCCCCTTGGTGGGGGGGAGGTTCCGTGACTGCTGACTGGATGACTGAACCCCAGCATTTCAGCTCCTCCATCCTTGGCCCTGCATTTAAGCGGTGGGAAGGGGTGCAGGATCTCAAGAGCCATCAGGGATGAAGGCAGAGGAAGCTAACTGGCCTCTTTGACAGGGTTGGGCTGGCAACTTTGGGGAGCAGGGAGGACAGGATAGGAATCCTCTATCATCAGAGCAAGAGGGGAGCTTAGAGCCCTCGGGACAGTCCCCCTATTTACAGTTGGAAAAACTGAGGCTCAGAGGGGCCTCACAGTGAGTGAGGCGGGGCTGGGGCTGAGGTCGCAGCCCTGGGAAGCTCTAAGATCACCCACCTTGTAGAGGGGGCCATCGGGGCCCCCGCCCTCGGCCTGCACCACCACATAGGCGTGCAGGAAGTTGGACGCGATCATGTCGGGCACGAAGGGCGTGTTCTCATCCTGGAAGACCACGGCAACGATGTCATTCCCGATGTGCCGCTTTCGCTGCAACTGAGCACAGGGCCACAGGCCTTCACACCCTGGCCAGAGAGGGGTCACTGGGTGCAGGGGAGGGTGCCCACAGGGATGTGGCGGGGGGCCTGGGGTAGGCAGAGGGCACATCTAAGGATCTGCTTCTCCCCACCCCCCAAAAAAATGTGGTGAGAAACTTGTCTTGAAATTACTTTTGTTTTCTTGGAATCTTGTGACAGATGAGGAAACCAAGGCCAAGAGAGAAGTGACTCAGGGCCCTGCTGTGAGTTAGGGGACTCGAACCTGGGGCTCCTGGTCCCCAGGCCCTAATGCTCAGCCCTTCTCCTGTCTAAATACCCCAAACATGGCCCCTTCTTGAACAACAGTTCCACTGAGTATAGATTCATGTTGCTAAAATGAACAGAGAATCTTATTGAAAGAAAATAAAATGACTCTAAAAGTAAGGAACAAAGACTGCCATTTTTCTCACATTACCGTTTCACCCCCCCGGGCTGGGGATGTGGGGTAAGGTAGACAGGCCTGCAGGAAGCTGAGGACAAGGTGACAAATGTCCGAGTTCAGCTCCCTGAACAGGCCCCACACTTCCTCAGCTCCAGGTCTTTGCGGAAGCTGGTCTCTCTGGAACACCCCCACCCCCCTCACTTCTCCCAGCCCCTTCACAGCCTAAAAGGCGCTTTATCTTGAAAGATTTTCCTGATTCCCACCCCTGCCAAGTCAGCCCCCCACATGACCCCACAATGCCCTTCACGCCCTATAAAAATACAAACTCACATTTATTGAGCTCTTGCTAGCACTAGATACTTTTCGAGCCACTGTATGTGCATTCCCCGTTTATGTTCACCTATGAGGTAGGACCATTATTATGCCCATTTTCAAAGATGTGGAAACTGAGGCTTTCACAACATTTTAACAGCTTTTCTCCCCTGTCCCAACTAGAGCCCACAAGGGTGGGGGAAGGGACTGGGTAACTGCCATCTTCTATGTCCTGGGTGGGGCCCACTGAGCCTGGTGTGGCAGACACTGAACGGACAGGTAGACGGGGGACAGGAGGACAGGTGGGTGGGTGAGCGCCCAGGCTACCTGCTGGGCGTCCCCTTCTGTGTAGGGCAGCTTGGTGGACACGTGAAACATGATCTCCTTGTTGCGGAAGTTGCAGTACACAGACTCGGTCCCCGTCTGCCCGTGGGTCACGTCCAGGCCTCCTCGGAACCTGCCCCAGGCCCCCCCAGGCCACGGCTCAGTCTCCAGCCCCAGCCAGGCCTCCATGGGGCCAGGATGGGGGCTCCCTCCGTGCCCAAGAACGTGGGTCAGATTGTACTCTGCTTATCCCACTCTAATGCTCACCCCTTAAAGTCCTGCAGTTTGACCTTCTGGCCAAGAAATTCGAGGAACTCCACGAAGGCAGGGCTTTCCTCGTTGGTGCTGAAGAGTTCCTCCTCAGAGGTCTGGGGACACATTGAGGGTAGGGGTCACAGAACTGGAGCTGCTGAGCAGCCGCCCTCCCCCACCCCAGAGAAGCCTGGAAGGGGGACCTCTGGCAGCCTGAGCTCCTGGGAAACTGAGTCCCTGGGGAGGTGCTCCTCTCCCTGGCAAAGGTCAGAGGTCCCAGATAAACGGCCAGGCGGGTGGGGGAGCAGGGAGGAGGAGGTGAGCACACCTGTCCAAGCTTCTGATAAATCACTCCAAACTTGAAGTTATTGCTGATAACATGCTCGTCAAAGGTGACTATGAGCCGGGAAGCCTGCGGGGAGGGGACAGTTGGTGAAACAGTGCTGAAACGGTTGCTTGCTCTTATTATGTGCCGAGCTCTGTGCTCGGCACTCCACGTGCATCATCTCATTTAATCCTCGGAACAAGCCCGTTGAGGGAGACGCTCGGGCTGTCCCCATTTTACAGATGAAGAAACCGAGGTTCAGGGCTTAATTCGACTATGGTCAACAGCTTGCATGTGGCAGAGCCGGGGCTTGAACTCGGGTCTGTTGGATCACGAAGCTCAAACTCACTGCTCCTGAGTTTTGCCTATTAGCTCCTGCCCCTACTCCACTCTATAACAGCTCCCTCCTTGGCTCTGCTGTAAACCCACCTCATTATTCTAAACCAGGCTGAGTCCCTCCACGGTGCTATGGGACCTTGAGCAAGTTCCCCTCCACACCTTGGGCCTCGGTTTCCTCTTCTGTAACTGAGCGATGGGATCTAATTTCTGAGGCCCCTTTCCTCAGGGACCTTTCCCAGATGATGTCACCCCTCAGGGACCCGCATCTTGCTCTAGAATTCAGTCAGAGCTACAAGGGTTTATGTGTCTTTCAAGGCCCACCTCTTTCAGGAAGCCCTCCTGCCTCACTGAAGACAGAAGACCCTATCTCATTTTCCACATTGTCACAGCACCTCAAACCCAGCACCCAGCAGCAGAGCTGGAAATGCAGCTGTTGTCTATGGGGCAGCAGTTATGGAGGTGCCTGTGTTAGTCTCTCTTGCCAGGTCCCCTCTGGGGTCAGGGCACAAGGCCAGTGGAGTCACCTGGCGCAGGAGCACAGGTTGCCCTTGGGAGGGTTCCAAATGACACTGAGAGTTTCCAGAGGTAAGTAAGGCATGCCTCCAAGGCGGACAACACTAGGCTTAAATGCAAGCCTTTCTTGTCTGCTGTGCATCCCTGGGTAAGACACAGAACCTTTCTGGGCCTCTGGTTCCTATTCTGCAAACTGTCGACTTTGCAGGGGTATTGTAAGGATTAAATGAGAGAACTCAGGAAAAGTACCCTGCACACAGCAGGTGCCCAACAAATGCTCAGTCCCCTACTTACCCACCCACCCTCAGTGAGCATGGCCCAGATCCAGCCATACCTTGGGGTACAGCACAGGATAGAATCGATCCACATTCACATCTTCACACACCAGCTGCAGGAGGAGATAAGGGGGTACCTAAGGGTGAGGCCAGGAAGAGGGGCTGGGGCTTCTGGGCCTCCCAGGCAAAGGTCTGGGGGAGGACAGCAGCAGAAAGGAGAGGGAACAACCAGGCTGAAGCAGGACTGTGGGTTCAGAGTTGCTCAGAATGGGGTGCACAGAACTGGGGTTCCCTGTACCCACTGGTGCTTTAAAGAGTGTCAAAAGCACACAGACAGGGGACAGGGCCCCAGAACACATAGCAGCATGTGGACATCATGGGAACACATGAGAGGCAGGATCTCAGAGACAGGGCTGCAGCACATAGGGCTAGGACCTGGAGCTAAAGATGAGGGTGTGCTGAGGCCAAGCTGCAGCCCAGCTGTGTGCCCATCTGGAGAACCCGAAGGGGGCCCAGCATGAAGAAGCAGAGGCCTCACCTTTGCCATCTGGACCACGTTGGGGAACTCAGTGAGGCAGGAGATGGGGATGACATCATGGTATGTCCGGCACTTGGTCCTGGGAGAAGAAAGCCCACGGTGAGGGGCTAGGCAGTGGGAAAGGGAGGTGTGAGCCCCTCAACACAAAGTAAGACACCAAAGAGGGCCAGCAGTGATGCTGGGGGCCAGGCCTGGCTCAGGCACTAACATGCTGTGCATCCTCAGGTAAATCCCTGCCCTTCTCTGGGCCTCGATTAGAAAAGTGGGTAAAATGAGATGGGTTTTCAGATTGTAAGACCTCAGCCCTCACTACTGTCACAGGGCCCCTCACCCCACCCTCACCTGAGCAGCAGCCGCAGGTGCTCCTGGTCCCCGATGACATCATACTTGAGTGAGAAGACAAGGTGGCCCAGGGCAGTATCCAGTGAGTAGTAATTGAAATGCTCCTGTGGTGGGAGGTGGGGGCCAAGGGAGCGGGTAAGGCTGAGTGTGTGGCTTCCAGAAACCAGATCAAAAAGCCAACTCATTCCCCAATGGGGGTCCTTCATCAAACAGCAGGTGTCATGGCTAATAGCACCAGGTAGACCCACATTCAAATCCTGCTCTGCCACTTGCCAGCTGGGGAGCCTGAGAAGGTCGCCGCGCCTCTCTGCGCCTCAGTTTCCTAGTCTATAAAATAAGAGTGAGGCCACCTACCTTGTGGGATGGTGGCAGGGACTGAAAGAGATGAAGTGCCTGGCACAGAGTAGGTCGTCAATGAAATTTATAGAAACCTTAGTCCTCATCAAAGTCAAGACTACATTTCTATCTTCATACCTGTCTCCCAGCCCTGCCCTTCTCAGGGCTGGGCACACAGTAGGGGTTCAATACAAATATGCCAACAGACTAATTGCTCAACCTATGGCCCCTGAAGCCAGGGACCCGTGAGAACAGGAAGTGAAACATCTCATGAATACACTGGGCTGACCTGGCAGGTTCCCACCCTCCTGCCTCACCAGGAGAAGCTGCAGGTTGGGAAGAACTAGCCCAGAGGACCCAAAGGGAAACTGCAGCAGGGGTCGTGGCAGGGACGGTCCCTTCAGAGAGGAGCCCAGGGCTGGTACCTCCAGGTGGAAAGCCCCACAGCCAAGGGCCAGGAGTGCTGAGAGATTACACCGCAGCCTGGCCCTGGGAGTGGGGCGGGCTTCCCAGCCACACCCGCCCCAGGAGTCATCCTGGAAGTAAGTCCTGTTTAAACACGAACACCTGTGCTCAGAGGGCAGAAAGAGAAAGAGGCAAGGGCTGGGGCATATGTCTCCACAAATCCGCAGTTCAGGGCTAGTCTGAGGGCACCTGGGGCAGACGGGCCCCTTCAGCCCTGCCTGGGCACAGAGTGACAACCCCCTCAATGCTTGGTACCACCTGCGGAGAGGGAATGGCAGGCACTTGGCAAGGGGGGCTGCACTGAAGCCCTCAGGGTGGGGAGTTGCCCCGACACCCCTACCCAGAACCAAGGGAGCCCAAGGGACAGTGTGAGAGTGGGCTCAGGGTCCCACTCCTAACCTCCTCCCTCTGCCAGAACAGGCCCCACTGCTCCTCTGTCCCCTACTTGGGAGTCAGGAAATGGCCCTGGCTCTGCCAGCCCCCTGGGGCACGCGCCCCTCCATGCTGCTAACCTCACCCTGGTCATCATGCCTTTTCTGATCCCCCAACCTGTATCTCTTCAGATCCTTCTGTGCCCAAAGCACCACCTTCATTCTGTCACCTGTCACGCCTCAGAAAGCTTTCCTGAGTGCCAACTATGTGCTAGGCCCCCTGTCCCCAGATCCCATGACCTGCGGACCCAGCTGAGAGCTTCTGAACAGTGGGTGCAGGACGAGGTCTCTCTCCACCCACAGGGCTCAGGCTAAAGGTAGAATCCAGTGCCCCGTTCTGGGTTTGTCTCCAGGCAATGGCTCCTGAGCCTAGGCCTGCTGCTTTAGTCTCAGTCACAACGGGTGCCACCCCTTTTCCCCCCAACCTTAGCACCAATACTCCCCCAGGGTCAGGCCAACATCTTGAGCTCAGAATGAGGTCACAGAGCCCCCCAACTCCCCAAGGAGTCACCCCTCCTCCCAACACACACGCACACACACCTAGAAACAGGACCCCTCCCATAGCATGTATTTTTAAACTATATATTATTTGACATGCAACACTGTGTAACAAATTAAGTAACAACATGTTACTTTGCTACTTTCATATATTGTAATGATTGCTGTTGTAGTGATATTTATCACATTGCATAATTATAATACAATATTGTTGTCTGTTCTCATAGTGTGTCTTAATGGGAGGTCAGCCAGAGCTAGGTCCAATTCCTAGCTCAGTAACTGTGTGACCTTGACCAGGTCACTTTACCTCTTTGAGCCTCAGTTTCCCCTTCTGAAAAACTAGGACAATCCTTATCTCACAGGTGATTATGAAGATGTAATAATAACAGCTAACATTTATTGAGTACTTACTACGTGCCAGGCATGGTTCTCTATGCTTTAATGTATTTTTATTATCCCCATTTTTACAGATGAGGAAACAGGCTCAGGAAGGTCAAATAACTTGCCCAAGGTCACACCATCAATAAATGGAAGAGCCAAGACTTGCACTCAGGTCTCAAGGCCCCAGAGCCCACACTCCACTCCACCAACTCAGAGCAAACTGATGTAGAGACAGCACCTGGTGTGGAATCTGATATATACAGAGTCCCAGCGGTGGGACCTCCCCTCCAACCCCCACAACCTTGCCCAATAGCTCTCGCCTGAACACTGCTGGGTGACACTCTGACAAGTTGTGACCAGGCAGGGTCCCTGCTGTGGGGCTGGTGGTGGGGTGGAGGTTGCATCAATCCAGGTCACGCCACGACTTTGACATTACTGAGTCTTCCCAGCCCCCACCTCAAGCTGCCCAAGGGCAGGCCTGGGTATGTTTTGTTTGCTGCTGCATACCTGGTGCCTTGAGCAGGGGCAGGCACACAGCTGGTGCTCATTATTTGCTAACCCTGATTGAGTCTTACTCTGTGCTAGATGCTATTCTAAACACTTTACAAGCATCCTGTCATTAAAGGCTCATAACAACCTTAGGAGGTGGATATCGGCACCATCTCCACTTTTACAGTTGAGGAAACGGGGACAGGGAAGGTAAGTGACTTGTCCTATGTCCCACGCAGTAAGTGGCAGAGCCAGGATTCAAACCCTAGTACAGTCGCTGCTGTTAACCACTATGCCATAATACTGCCTTTTGCAATAAATGTTTGTTGAACGAATGAGTGAATCCACCATGCAATGCTCCCTGAGATTCAGGGCTCTAGGACTGTTACCCAGCTCCAGCCCAGGGGTTTTCTGCTCCCTCCCAGGCCCAGACCCCCAACACCAGCAGGCCACCCACCTTGCCGAGAAAGTGCTTCCGATAGATGCGGGCTGTGGGGTTGCACTCCAGCTTCACCTTGGTGGTAGGCGACTGCAGCGGCTCTGTCTCAGGGATGCTGGTGATTTCGTGGTTGGTGCCTTCGATCCAGTAGCCACCGAACTGGGGCAGCAGGATGAGGGGGAAGGGCCCTTCTCGCCCCAGGACCTGAAGGGGGACTCAGCTGAGAGCCACCCATGCTGCACCCCACCAAAGGCCCCGGGACACCTCCCCAACTCAGACTTAAGGAGTACTAGCGACAACCCAGAGCCTAACATCCGTCCCAGACTACAAGGAGCCCCAAGTCCCATTCTCAAAGGCTGGGGTGGGGGCAGGTAGAGCGAGGAGCATGACCGTGGCAGAAAGGCTGCAATGTCTGGCTCAGAGGCCTTGGGTTCAGATGGGCTCTGACGTCTTGAGGCTATAAATTGAGTCTCCAGCCCCAACTGCGGTCAGGCTCCGACAAGGAGGACCAGGGCATCCTGACTCCCTGCGTGAGTGCCTCCAGGGCTTGGGGTGAGGATGGGCTCAGAGGGGCCCCAGCTGGTTACCTCGTGGACGCTTGGGTAGGGAATGTAGTCCTCCTCCGTCTGCAAAACACAAGCAGGGCAGAGGCCCAGCTGGGACAGGATCCACGCCCTTTACTTCCAGCCCCTGCCTCAGAATGCGCCTTTGTTTGGCCAGCCTCCAGGGCTGGGGGTGTGGATGGGGCCGTGTCCTCATGTCCCCATCTCACAGGTGGGGCAGGGCTCGCCTTGGGGTGACCCCATGAGGCAGGTGCTCAGGCAGACTTAGCTCGCTGAGTGCTGGCAGCCTCTTGGGGCTCGTCCTGCCTGGAAAGGAGGCTCACTGCCTCCCCAGGAGGAATCTCTGGACCAGTGGTTATCAGTGTATCAGAATGGCCTGGAGGGCTCGTTAAACATAGATGGCTGCACCCCACCCCTAGAGTTCCTGATGCCCTGGGCCTCGGGGGTCCTGAGAATTTACATTCTCACAAGCTCCCAGGTGGTGCTGATAGGGCTGGTCTGAGGACCACACTTTGAAAACCCCTGCCCTGGACAAAGCAGGAGCCTTATGCCCAGGAACCCTCTTTAACCCTCACCCCCTGCAGCCCTGGGCCCACTCCCTGGATGGTTGGGGTTCCTCCACAATCACCAACTGGAGAGCCAGATGCCTACCTGGAAGGGCTATGCAGCTCCCGCTCGCCACACCCCAAAAAAATATGAGTCTAAACAAGAGCCTCCTAGCATCTCCTTCAGTCCCCAGCCTCCTGTCAGTCACCTCATGGGAGTTGGGGGTCAACCAGGTCACCCCCACCTCTCCCCCTCCCCCCCGCAAGCCTTCCAGGCAGGGGCTACAGGGAGCAGCAGAGCATAAGCCTCCTGGGTCCTGGGTTTGAATCTTCCTACAGCTGCACATCACAGCTGGCTTCCAGGGGAAAAACCTTTTACAGGGGCTGTCTTGTGAGGGACGGGGCTTCAACTCTGGGACGGGGAAGCCTGGAGAGGCGGGGTGAAGAGGCGGTGAGGACAGGAGGGGAGGAGCTGGAATGAAGGCCTAGAGCAAGGGAGAGAGCCTTCACATGTCGGAACTCCTGCAGAGTCAGGGCTGGGTACCCCCACAGTAGCACTACTTCATGAAAGAGCGATGGGTTCTCCAGAGCTGGCTGTTTGGGTGGGCAGCTGCAGCAGCACTTCCCAGGCCCCACCCCCACCCGAGGGAGGGAGCCTGCCACCCCCTTCCTGTCCTCCTCCAGGTCCCCAAGACCTTTGGAGAGGCTGCTCCCGAAGCCCACGGAAGGGTGGGGTGGTCGTGGCTCAGACCTACTTTGAGGGGTGGTGGGAAAGAGCATCGTTGTTCATCCATCCTGCTTCCCTGCAGAGAGAGGGTGACACCTCCGTTACACCCCTCCCGCCCGGTACACCCCTCCCCTGCCTGCAGCGCTGCCTCCCGCTGGACTTGCAGCCCTTCCTGTGTAGAAGGGGAAAGCCTACTGGTGTGGGGTACTCCCAGGGTAGGGTGCTCGGTTACTCAGGCCTCTCTGCAGGGCGGGCTGTCCTGCTGGTAACCTGGGCTGCAGGAGCCCAGCTGTAGCAGGGAGGGGCTGGGGGCTCTGTGCGGGAATGCCTGCCGCTGGGAGTGGGGCCAGGGGTGGTGCACACGTGCCTGTGTGTGGGGAGGTGGAGGGGGAGACTATTGCATCTACACAGATACGTGTTGTTGAGAGAGAGAGAGAGGAGAAGAGAGGGGGAGACAGGGGGAGAGAGGGGGAGAGAGAGGGAGAGAGAGGAGGAGGGGAAAGGTGGAGACAGAAAGACTAAGTAAGAGAGGCAGAGGAAGAGGAAGGGGCAGAAGAGAGGGGTTAGAGGGTAGATTGACATCAGGTAAAGCTCCTAAGGTTTGTTCAAGTCACGCCAGCCCCCTGCCCACCTCCCGACACATACCCTTGCAGAAAACAGACCGGGGCCTGGAAGCCCAGGGCTGGGGAGTGGAGGGCAGGCAGGAGTCAGAAGGGCGGAGGCTGCACGCCCCGGCTGCCCAGCTCGTTAACACCGCCAGCGACCTGCAGCACAGCCTCCGGCTGCCCTGAGCCCTGGCATCTGTCCCTCTTCCCATTCTACGCGAGGATCCTACAGAGTCTGCGATGCCTCTTGGGAGATGGGAGATGGTGTGTGTATGTGGGGGTGGGTTGAGGTGGGGACCCCAGCCCTGCTGGGGACCTACACAGGCATGGAAGCTGGGGAGACGCAAGTGGGGCCACGGTCAGATAGGGAGTTGGCCACTACCAGTCTCTACCCTGTGACCCCCCGACAGAGGGCTCTGGGCAGTGCACTGCCACCATCTCCTTCCTGCGCAGTCTACCAAGGGCTCTTGGCCTGTCCTCAGAGAGGCGTAGGGCTGGAGATATAGCAAGCCCCTCGCCCCAGTGCAGCCCCCTCTATGTCTTCCCGGAACAGGCTGCAGAGCCAACCTCACCTGCATCTTTTCAATCATCTCAAACAGATCTGTGTTCTGCAACAGAGAAGGGGGTGACAGCAAGTCAGTCCTCAGAGTGGTCCAGCTGATTCTGCTGAGCCCCCAAGGAGTTTGCACCCAACCCAGCCATCCAGGTCCCCCCCAGTTCTGACCAACCATCTTGGACCTACCAGCCCAGAGCATGGGCCCCTGAGGGACGAGCCACCCCATTCAGTCCCCTTCCCCAAAGAAGAAGGCTGGTGCCTCAGATAAAGGGATGTAACCCTTGGGGACAGCCACGTCTCTCCCATGTCACTACAAGGTTGGCAGTGCCAGGATCAGCCCATGGACCCCTCAGAAGGGTGCCAGGTCTCAGCCCCAGAGAGGAACCCAGCTGGGACCCTCAGGAGGGTCTGATTCCACCCACCTCTCCTGGAAGTGGGCCCCACCCTCCCCCTAAGCAGTGTGGGCTGGGGGGCTGTTGGGGGAGAGGACGCTGGGATGTTTCATTGGCCCAACATGTGTGTGTGAGTCCATACACACTCCTTCCCCCTCACTCTGCAGACAGCCTCTCCAGAGGCTAGGGCACATGCAGGGTTAATCAGGAATCTGCCAGCTGCCTTGGCAGCTCCGGCCTCTCCAGTGCCAACTCCCTGTGAGCCTTCCTGGAAGGCAGCATCCTTGACGGCTGGCAGGGCTGGGGGCTGGGCCTGGGAAGCCCCCAGAGTCTCCAGGACAGTGAGTGCCCCTCCCCCGCCCCTCCCAGCTCCTGCTGCCCAGTGTGGGCACCGCCTGAGCTCACACACACGTGTTATGGGACTGAGCACCAGGAAACACATACTCTTTCTCTTGCTCAAACACACACAGGCCTACACACCAATATTTAAACAGTCTCACTGTACCAAAGAAAGTAAACACACACAAACCCACGGGGTCCGTGCACACCAATTCTTAGACTCAGAGCTAAACGCTGACACGTAAATACACGTGTTGGTGTCCTAAGTTACACAACAGCACACCCACTCACACACATACAGGTCCATGTACACAAGAGCCACACACACACATGCAAGCCCCCCCTGTGCAGATCTGCACACCAGTAACTGCACGTGAAGCTACATGTCATACACCACAAAACTACTCTCCCAGCCGCGTGAGGAGAGACAAAATAACATGCACTCACAGACATGGGTGGGCAAGTTCACGGAAACTTAGCTACAGAGCCCCACTTCCACGTACCTTCCCCATCCGAGTCACGTACCCTGTGTAACAGACATGACAGACTTGATCCCACGATGTTAAGTGAGTTCGGGGAAAAAGAAAAAGCATGCGGCAACTGTGGGAGTGTTTAATCACCAAGGATGAGGGGTACAGGTGTGAACCTCACACACCTCTTGTACACGTTTGAGTACACACCACCCATCTACACACACACACACACACACACACACACGGCTCTGTTAAAGATCACGAGACACAAACACCCCATGTGCACACTCAGGCCTGACCACAGGAGCAAAGCCCACCCCATGAAACGCACCCCAGAAGTCCACGGGAGATGCTGACCCATGGTCACCTATGGCCACACCCAACACTTCTGAGCTTGGACAAGACAATTCCACAGGCAGTTACAGCACAAACCACAGACACACACCTACAGCCCAGGTAGACAAATATGCTTGTCCACCCAACACCCTGTACAACAGCAGCATTGGCATCTGTGCCCAACACAATGCCAGCATGACAGTGATGGGGGCACATTAATGCCCCCAGAGCACCCCACTCAGGGTGATGTAACATGGGCAGGAGCAATGCACCGGGAGTCACAGCCACATAAACACTGACACACGGCACTGTCACCCAGAGTGCACACACAGCAACAAGTGACACAGTTACAGCCTCACAGGAGCAGCAGACGCCCTGACACATGGAAGGCTGTGATCCAAGTAGCCCAGGGCACCATGCAAAGTTACACTGTGACATTCAGACCACCCCTACAGGGGACAGGGACGCACGAAATGGTCCCAAGGCCAGTACACACATATACACAGTGCCACTGTAGCCCAGAGCCACAGTGTCATCACGGGCACTCTGTTTCGTGGGCAGCGGCAAAAAAGAACCCAAGGCCCGGGACCCCAGGGCAGGGGTGTGCCCTGTGGCCGCCGTGGCCGGGTGTCAACCCAGAAGCTAACACACCCTCCATGACGGAGCCTCGCACACCCGCCCTGGCTGGGTCAGAGTCTCCCGGGCTCCGAGGAAGTCGGGTAGAGCCGGCAGCTCCTGCGGACCCCTTCGGCCAGGCCATCCTCGCCCGAGTCCTCACCTGCCAGCCGGCTCCAGAGGGCAGCGAGCCCCTCCGCGGACGGCCGAGGGGCGCCAGGGGCCGCGGCTGCGCCATCCCGAGTCCGGCCTTGCCCCAGCCCCTGCCCCGGCGGCGCTTCAGCGGGTCCCGCGGCTCCGACCCGCGCGCGCCCCGGCCCGGGCCCCGCAGCGCCGAGCTCCGCGCTCCGGCTCCGGCTTCCAGCGGCGCGCTGCCTGGACTGGGCTGGCCGGGCCTGGAGGGGGCGGGACGCCAGGTACCGGCGGCGCGGGGGCCGGGGCGGGGCTGCGGGGATCCGGGGCGGGGACACAGGAGGCCCCGCCCACCGAAGCGTCCGGACCTGTGGTGCCCGGCCACTGCGCCTGCGTGCTCTTGTCAGAGCGCTATATAAACTTCAGCGCTGCGCCCCTCAGCAGCCTTCTCTGTCTTTCCGGACTTTGGGTACTCCGCCTCAGGGCCTCCAGGACGGGGCTCTTGGGATGGGCTGTGAGCCCGGCAGGAAGAGGATGGGGGTTACTTTGGAGACAGAGGACTTTTCTTGTGCACCTACTTAATGTTGGCACCTTAGCAAGTCTCATGCTATCCTCACAACCCAGGAGGTACAAGTGTCATCCCCATTTTACAGAAGAGAAAACTGACTCCAAGAGGTGAAATAATCATGCTCAAGATCACACAGCTAGGAAAAGACAGAACTAGGAATCCAGGAAAAGGCCTGGAGCTGCTCTCCCCTCCCTCCTCATCTTCTCTTTGCCTGACAGTGGCTGGCCTGTTCCCTCCCTTCCCCAGACCCCATGCCATACCTGGCCCTTAACTGCCCCCCCCACCCCCATCCTAATTGTCTCTGACCCTAGGGGAGACAACTACAGTGACTGAGGAGGGACTGCAAAGGCCCCACGGTATTGAGGGAATCCCTGCCACCTCTGTAGGCCTCAGTTTCCCCATCTGTAAAATATATGGTCTCTGCAGACACTTCCAGCTGACCCTGCATTGTGTCTGCCAATGTACAATGGGGGCAGGGCTGGGGCCTCAACACCCCCTCCCCAGACAGATGCTGGGAAAGTGGCAATTGCTTCCTGAGCTGTGGCCAAGTCAACACCAGCTCTTTTGGACCCTGCAGGGGCAAGGCTGCCCACCAGTTCGGTGCCCAACCTCTCTTCGGCTTCCTGAGGGAGCTGCCAGCAGCTGCCCACCATCCTCCATTTCCAAGGCCAAAGGCTCCTGGAAGGAAGGAGGGACTGCACCTTCCTTTCCCCTAGACCTGGCCCTGAGTCAGACTGGCGTCCGGGGAGCCAGCAGGAATCCCAGAGATGTGTGTTCCAGACACGGTGTAGCTTTGTTTTTAATAATTAACAGCAGCAAATATTGATTTATGCAGGCACTTCCAGGCCTGAATGCTTCCGGGCACCCATCGAAATGCACCCAGAGAAACATCCATTCCCACACTGGGAGGAGGTAAGACCTGCTCCTATCACCGGAGATGCCTATGAGACAGGTAGAGTGAAGGGGGTGCACATGTGTGCATGCACCTGTATGTGTGTGCATGCAACTCTGAGAGTAGATGTGGCTCTGTGTGCCTGGGCATCCTGGGTATGTTTTTGTGTGTTTGTACATGTGTCTCTTGCACGTGTACATGTGCAAGCCTCTGAATCCATGTGCAGACATGACTGTGTCCACGTACATAGGTGTGGGTAGGCTGTACATATACATGTGTGCAGATTTCTGAATCCCCAAGTGGAGAAATCCCTATGGCGGGGCAGGGTAGGAGGATCCTGGGTAGCTCGGTGTCTGTACAAGTGTGGCTTCCCAGTGAAGAGGGGGACGTCCTTTCAGGGTGTTCTGTCCTACTCTGGGAATATATGATGCTGATAATAGTTCAGCTTCCTAATTTCCACCTTTCCAAAGTTGCTTTCACAGTCATCACTCAATTGCAAACTGGCAAGGTGGATAGAGAAGGAATTGTCACCTCTATTTTACAGAGGAGGAAACTGAGGCCCAGAGAGGGGCAGGGACGTGCCCACTGGTACAGGGAGGTCTCCTGCCCCTCAGACTGGCTCCATCAACATTATAAATGTGTGCAGAGTTAGGGGTACTGGGGAGGGGGATGGAAAATGTGTCACGGGCCTGGTTCCCTCAGGGGCCTGGGTCCCCACCACTGGTTTGCTGGGGATCCAGACGGGTCACTCAGTGCCTCTGGACCCTGGTTTCCTCCCCTGTCAAAGGAGGAAGATCCACAGACTGTGTCTTGATTCTGGGGTGGGGGTGGGCTGGCGGGAGCCTGCAGTCCGGGCTGTGTTGGCACAAACAGAGGCTTCTCGACAGACTGGGCGGAGGCCAGGAAGCCTGAGGGGAGGTAGTTCAGAGCTAATCCAAGAAGGCCAGCCCCAGGCTGTCTGAGCAGGCAGGACTCAGGGCGATGGGCTGTTCCAACCCTCATCTTTCTGATGAGAAGACTGAGTCCCGGGGAGGGGACACTATGGTCCAAGAGCACACAGCCCTTGGTGAGAACCCAGGCCTCCTCTCGGATGCTCACTCATGAACCCAGCTGCCATCGAGTCACTCCCTTCTGCCAAGACCCAGCATCTACATGGCCTGTCTTGGGCTACTGCCCAGGCATAGAGAGCAGAAGTTCTAGGATGCCTACCTGGGACCCCCTTGGAGGTGGTGGTCCCCCACAAGGAAACCATTCCTTGGCCATTTGTCCTCCTGGCCCAGGAGAGGTGCGTGGCCCTTGCTCCAGGCCAGGGTGCTGGGACAGGAGCCTGGCGGATCCTGCCTCTGCTATTTCCTGGCTGTGTGACCTTGGGAAAACCATTTCACCTCTCTGAGCATCTAGATCCTCATGTGGAGAATGCCTATGACCCAAGGTTTGATGAAAGAACCAAGAAGCATGATGCCTGTGGACAAGATTTAGAAACTGTGAAGTATACTGCAAACGTGAGGGCTATGACCCCTCTACATTAGAGAGGCCACAAGACCAGGTACTCTGGTCAGACAGCCTGAGTTCTGGCCGTGGTCCCATCGCATCCTCCTACCTGTGTGTCTTTGAGCAAATAACGTAACTGCTCTGAGCCTCAATTTTCTCCTCTGCAAAATGGAACTAATAATAGTGGCCAGCACATAATACTTACAGTTTGAGGATGAAACGAGATACTGCATGTAAAGCATTAAGTACCCACATGGTCCATAGTAAATTTCAATCAATACTAGTGGTTATTACTAGTATCTGATGTTCTGCATAAGTTACTTAGTTATTTCTCTCTAAATTGGACTACGGCTCCCTGAGGGCAGGGTCTGCGTCTGATGGATTTCTGGCCCCTCAGCGCCCAGGGCAGTCTGACACAACTCAGGTACTGCACGAACATTTGCTTTTGATGATAAGAACAATGGCCGTATTTATAAGGTTCTGACGCTGTGCCAGATACTGTGTTTCACAGGATGCTTTATCGGCACTTTTCCATTTAATCCTCACAATAGCCCTGTGAAGTGGGTACTGTCATTATACTCAATTTACAGATGAGGAAACTGATGGTGACGCTGATGATGAATATAATGAAGAATAGCTGGTTGGCCAGTTTACTCCCAGCTGCTCTTCCCTGTCCCCAGCAGTGCTAGAGACCCCCGTCCAACCTCTGAGACTGTACCGGGGTCAGGGTGGTAGCCCCGAACATTTTACCTCTGCCCAGTAGTCATTCTTAGGTTATCTCTGGGGGTCTCCGGACCAGGGGCAGTGGGGACGGAGACACTTGCCTTTGGGTAGAGTGAAGCAGTGTTGGGGGGAACTAAGTCCACTCGTGGCAGGTCTAGTGCCTGAGGGAAGCGCTGGTTCTGTCCATCACTCCTCCTGGAAGACAAAAAGAGTCTGAGGTCAGGGAAAGCCCCAAGTTGGGAGATTTGTGAACTTTGGAAGGAAGAGTCACCCTCAGAGTTGGGGGACATGGGGGAAGGCAGATTTCATGGAGGAGCGGGTACGGGGTTCTGCAGGAGGAGGGGGGGAGGGACTTCCTGAGCGGGGCTGCCAAACAGCATCTCCTTCCCCAGAGATCAGAAATGTGGATAGCGTCTCCCCAAGCTCTCCAGTAGGGAGAGCTTCCCTCACGCATACTCCAGCCGAAAGGCTGTCCACAGCCCACTCTGAAGATGGGTAGACTGAGGCAGGGGGCAGTGAGGGTTGCCGCAGAGGGCTGAGCCCTGACCTCTGGACTAAGCAGGGTGCCCCAGCCTCTATGGACCTCTCAGGGAGAGAGCGGCCTTCGGGCTGAGAGGCCCCCAGGCTACTGCTATCATTGACAGTAACAATGCCTGACACTCATTGGGCCTACTATGTGCCAGGCCCTGTGCTGAGCCCCTTTCCAGGCCTGAGGGCACAGACTCCTCACCACACTGGTATTCCCACTTGACAGATGAGGACCTAGAGCCAGGCAGAGGTCACACAGCTGGTCAGCAGAGGAGCCAGCATCTGCACAAGGCCTGACGAACTCCAAGCCCGACCTTTTGGCCACACCCACACCTCTCCCTGAGGAAAAGAAACAGGTCTGGCGAGGGTGAAGTCAGCTCCTGTCACCCCAGCAAGCCTGCCAAGGAGGCCACCTCTGGGGTCAGGGAGAGGAAGTGCCCAGTGGTCCCTGGGATTCAGGGAGCCTAGGGCTGGGGGAGCACGCCTAGCTTCCGCTCACCGTCTGGGGCCACCCTGACGTGGCTGTACCTCCGCCCAGGTCCTATCAACCCAGGCAAGTCCCCAGAGGGTGAGTCATTCAGGCCAACAGATGATCCTCAGAGGCACACAGCTGTTTGAGTCAGGTGGAGCAGGGACTGCCGCGCCCTAAGAGGGGAAGGGCCTGCAGGAACGTGGTCCAGGAAAGAGACCCTGAGAAAGCCCTGAGCATCCCTGCTGAGTCCCCTCAGCCCAGCTACTCCAGCAGGAGAAAGGCCCAGAGGGAGAGATACCTCTCCACCTTCGAGGGGTGCATCTTAAAAAGTGAGGTCTTGACCCGGAAGGATGGCTATGGTGACAGTGGCGTTTCTGGCCCATGGCACTTGAGTGGGGGAGGTATTCCCACATCCTTACCTGCTGTGTAACCTTACGAGAGTGACACACTCCTCTCAGCCTCAGTTTCCAAAAAAAAAAAATCATCCCAGAGCCTGGGCAGCTACTAGCTTATTTACTGGGCAGAACTTATTTACTCAATAAGTTCTTTGATATTCATTCATGATAAACTCTGGCTCCCCACCTTAGGGTCTCATTAAGTATTTGCCGAACAGTTGAATGAAGAATAACTGAATGAAGGTTGGCAGTAGGGAGGTACTGAAGGTTTGTGAGCAAGGCAACAGCCTAAGTACACGTTCCTGTAGATTGCAAGGCGCGCTGACGTGGAGAGAAACTGGAGATGGGGGACTAGGGAGAGGCCCATAGAAATGGTCCAGGCACATTCCATTGTGGCTGCCATGGGGACTCTTCTTTGAGACCTACTGTGTGCCTGGAACTGTGTCAAGCCTGTTACCTCCACACTGCAGTGCCGGACGGTTAGGATTTTTCCCCATTTTTACAGATGGGAGAAAATGAGGCTCAGAGAGGGGAAGCCATTTCCCCTAGCAAGTGGGTGACAGACTCAGCATTTAAACTTCCATGCCCTTGACTAAGCAGCACCAGTGTCGGTGGGATGGAGAGCAGGGGCCGCCCAGGGGCTAGAAGTCTTGGGGTTGAAGCCCAGGTGAGGGTGGGCCCCCATGGTGGTGGGGACCGCAGTCCTGGCACGGCCCTGGCTGCCAAGTGGAGGTTGTTGCCAATGATAGAGCTATTGGGGTGGTGTTCTTCTCTCTGCCCCTTGTCATGCCCCGAGACCCAGACAATGGCCACTGCAGGCCAGCCCAGCAGCAGCTCCCTAAAAGGTTCCCCTCCCAGAACCCTCTCAGCTTCAGTGTCCCCGTGCGCAGATTCCCATCTCAGGACTGCTCATGTTGGCACCGGACGAGGGAGGTCCCTGAAGACAAGGGAGCCCTGGCTTCTATCCAGGACCAGCCTTGAGCCCTCCGCTCACCCGTTCCTGGCTGGCTCTAGTCCCACTCCTCACAGGCAATGCCCAGCCCTCCCCCCGCCCCCCCAGGCAACTCCACCTGAAAGGTCATTGCTGAGGTCCTAAAGGTCAGAGGGAGGAATGGGATCCAGGATGTGGACAGAGCAGGCGACCGGAAGTTCTGGGCCGGCCTGCCCTCATCATCCCAGCCTTGAGGGTTCGAAGGGCAGTTATAACAAAAGCCACAGCCTACCTGTGTCTTGCATGACCTTATTTAGTTCTCACAGCTCCCCCAAGAGACAGGTGCTCAAAAACTGCCTGCTTTACACAGGAGGAAGCTGAGGTTCAAACAGGTATGTTAACTTGCCCAAGGTCACGCCGTGAATGAGGCAGCGCAGGCACCGGAACCCAAGTTTGCTGCTCCAGAGCCCAAGATCTGAACGTCATAACATGGGCAGCCAGCCCTGGGGACCCAACAGGTCGCGTCCAAGAGGCAGTAACCATAGTATCAAGAGCGACAGCAGCCAACAGGACGCACCCTGTGCAGGCTCTGCTTCTACTGCTTCACTTGTAACTTAATGTAATCCTCATCTTTCAGAGGAGGTTAACTAAGAAACAGAGAGGCTAAGCAATTTGTCCAAGGTCATGCCGACAGTAAATGTAAGTGAAATAGGGAGGATTTTAACCCCTGACCATCCAGGTCTCGATTCTGTGCCCTAAGGCCACACTATACTGCCTCTTAGTAAGTAGTAGTTGCTCAATAAATACTTTGAAGGAATAAATAAACTCAGCCCCTTGCCTCCTCTGATGCCTCCTCCTCTTCTCGGCCTTCCTCACCTCTCACTCTTTCCCCAACCTTTCTAGTTCACTCCTCCCTCCTCTTCTGCCTCTGGCCTCTGCAGACTTCCCCAAACTTGGTCACGTTCCTTCTGCCAAGCATCTTCCCTAGGTCCAGCTCCAATCCTGCCCTGTCTGGCCTGGACACCTGTCTACAGGTACAGGACACCTGGACACAGAAAAAGGTAGTAGCCAGAAAGGCGGTGACTTGCTCAAGGTCACAGAGAAAACCAGGGCCAACCCAGGCCAGGCACATTCCTGGGTCACCTTCAGGTCCTGCAGCTGTATGGCCACCAGCCAGCTGGCCCCAGCTCCCCTCCCTCTCAGAGCACCCATCTTTCCTAGGAAAAGGGTGAGGTAAGGGTGTGGGGAGACAGCCTCGTGGCCCAGCTCCTGAGTGGGATGGGCCAGGCCAGAAGCCGCTGCCGACAGCTCCCAGGTTTCTTGGCAACTGTCACTGCACCTCCTCCCAGTTCCTTATCGCTCTGCATCGAGGTAACAGTAATTGCGCCGTCACTACAGCTCTTTGTACTTCTCAAAAGCCTTTTTATCTGCTCACCCCTGGGAGACTCACCGGAACTGGATCAGGAGATAATCAGTTGCTAGAATCCCCAATTCCCAGAAGAATAAACTGAGGCTGGGAAAGGTGAAACTACCACCTCGAGGTCACCCAGCAAGGTGGGGGGCAGATTGAGGACTAGAACTTCCATCGGTCCAGGGTTCCGGATGTCACACTGGGGTGGGGGGCATCTCAGGGAGGTCCCACACTCTGCAAAACCCAGGTCAGACCTAGGCATGGTGGGGGAGTCAGGGAAGGCTGAGGACAGGTGACCAGATGCCTCCCTGGTTTGCATCACACCTGTCACCCAGCTGGAGAGTTGGGGAGAGGCGCCTGTCTTTTTCTCCCATCTGCAAAATGAGGGATAATGTACCTACCCGGAGAGCAGCTGTGAGCCATGGAGTAGAATGAGCATTCTAGAACATTTGCTGCTGCTGTTGTTGTTGTTATTGTTCTTATTATTGTTGTTATTAGTATTAGCTACTCTCCCAGAAAACCCCACCCTTTCAGGGCACCAGAGGGGAAACAGGACTGTCCTGGGGGTAGGACTTGGCCCTTTGGCCACCCAGAGAGAGCTGCCCTGCCTGGAGGCCCCCAGGCGGGTCTGACTCCTGCAGCCTCTGCAGCCTCATCTCCACACACACATAGTCCCTTCCTGTCCTGCCCCTGTTGCCTTGTCCTAGCCTGGACGGGCTGCAGGCAGTTTTCTAAACAAGCCAACTCAGAACCTCTGCACAGGCTGTTCCCTCTGCAGGGGGTTCCTCTTTCCTTCTTTACTGCCTCATGAACTATTCATGCTGTAAAATTCAATTTAAACAGGTGAGACTCTGGTGGTCAGAGCAGGTGACATATGACCAGGTAAGGCATGAAGACTGTGACGGGCAGCAGGGTAGCTGGACAGGCGCTGGACAGCACGCACACAAGCTGGGAAAACCAGGCTTGGTGGCTTGGAGGGCAGAGGAGGGGCTCAGCCACCAGTGAACACTGGGCCGAGAAGGATTTGCGGGGACTAACCCAAGACAGGGGCCTGAGGGGTCCAGGTCGGCCCAGTGCTGGTCACCAGAGGTCCATGAGGCCAGCTGGTTCTGCCAACCTGGTGATTCATGTGGGGGGAGGGGCTGGGGGTAAGAGGGCTACTCCTGTGGACCCCCCCTCACCCAGAGGGGCCTCTCTGGATAGGGCCTGGGAGCTGCCTGGGTCTCCCACCCATGGTATCAGGCCTGGAGAGACTCTGTAATATCCTAAAACCAGAGACTAGAGGTGGCCCTGGAACTGCCTCTTTCCCCAGGGGCAACAGAGGCCCATTGTCTCCAGAGCTCAACCATCTGGCACTGACCACGCTGCTTGCCCCTGGCTCTGCCAAGGTGCCAGGGAAGGGGGCCAGGGGCAACCCAGCGAGCAAGTTTCCGAAGCTCAGCCCAGGGAGCCGGGCCTCCTCCTCCCAGGCCCACGGGGAGGGGTGTGGAGTGGGAACCGGGCATGGCTGCCCCGGCTCTCTTTTCCCAGGTACCTTTGACCTTCACCAGGGTTCAAGAGGGAGCGTGGGGGCGGCCCAGCGCAGTGATATCAGGTAATCCTTACAACAACAACCCTGATTGAGGGCTGCTGTTATCTTCACACCATTTCAGAGATAAGGCAGCGGAGGCTCAGTGAAGTTGCCAGATGGTCCCTGGGGTCCCATAGCCACCAAGGGGTAGAGCTGGCACGGTCCCCCTGGAGGTGGGAGGAGAGGGCCTCAGGCTCCAGGTGAGCTGGAAGGTGGCACATGGGGCCCCCACCCTCACCCTGCATTGGCTGAGCGCCGAGATACCCGGATCCCGGAGCTGGGCCAGGCAGCGGCCTCCTGAGCAAACAACAGGTTGGCAGCCCCAAGAGGAGGTCATGGGACTGGCCCCCACCGGGGTGCAGCACCCGGGGACCGGGCCTCCCGTCCACCTGCCGCCTGCCAGCGCCTCCCTGCCCAGGTGGCTCAGGCCCTGCTGTGGCCTAAGCCTGACCCTCCCCACTTCCTGGGGGGATGAAATCCTCCCTGCACACGGGACAGGGGGGAGGAGTGACACTGAGATGACCTAGCCATGGGGCCTCTGCTCAGGTAATAACAACACCTGCTCACCCAGCCTGGCACTTTACAGCTTACAGACCGCCTTCATTCTAGACCCTCTCAACAGCCTCACAAGGAAGCTAAGGCAGGTAACGTTATCTCCATTCTACACGGAAGAAAACTGCAGCCGAGACAGAGCTGGTGACTTGTCCAAGGTACCACACCCAAACCTCAAACCCAGCTGCTCTACTCCTTGCCCCACCGGCGCAAGACAACTCCCACTGATGGGCCTGGCACATGCCGCCCACCCTTAGTGTCCAAGGGAAGGGTGGGCCAGAGGAAGGACCTTTCCAGCACCCATACGCTGGGGCCTGATGCCCACTGGGTCTCACAGCCACCTATCCCTCACCTCCCTCGTTAACCTATTGTCCTCCCCCACCCCCACCTCTGCAGCCCAGGGGTCTCCCTTCTGCAAACACCATGCATTCCTTCACTCACTCACTCCATCACCCCCCCACTTCCCCCGCGCTTGCCCTTCATGCCCACGCTCAGTCATGCATTCAGGACACACGTTCTGACGCCTGCTCTGGGCCAGACAATGGGGCTGGGTGTTGGCATCAGAGCTGGGGAGCCAGGCCTCCCCCACCTCAAAGCAAAGGCTCAGTAACACTGGCTCGGACTGTTCTCTAGCTGTTCCTGGCGCTCCTTGGGCCTCACTGCGCAGACACTGAACCCTCCGGTGCTGAGGCCTTGTTTAATCCATCCATCTTCCTCCCTAGTCAGTGCGTTTGCTGCCTCATGGACCCCAGGCCAGGCTGGTGAGCAGAAGTTCCAGCCAGGCCAAGGTGAAACCCCCTTGGACAGGGTCACCATCTCCTAATCAAAGGCGACAAGGAAAAGCCCTGGCTCTGTCTCTAAATTGCCGTATGTTCAAGACTAAGTCACCATAACCTCCCCAAGCAGCTCCCACTGGCAACTGGGACGCAGACTAGATGATGCTAAGGGGGGCTTGGACGTTCTGCAGCAGGGTGAATGGGAGGATGAGGAGCTGGGAGCTGAGTCAGCTGAGGACGGGCTGGAACCCTGGAGGGCCTACTCTCCCCAGCAGGGGCTGTGGAGGGCACCTCAGGTTCCTCCACGTTGTCTCTCTTGTCTGAGCCTCAGCTTCCTCATCTGCAAAATGGGGTAGTAATACCTACTTTGCAGGGTTGTTCTGCAGAATACATTAGATACTATAATGTACAATCTGACTAGCTGACAGCTGAGTACAGTCATGCGTTGCATAATGACGTTTCGGTCAATGGCGGACCTCATAGACGATGGTGGCCCCATAAGATGATAATGGAGCTGAAAAATTCCTATCGCCTAATGACATCATAGCCATCTCAACATTGTAGCACAATGCATTACTCATGTGTCTGTGGTGATGCTGGTGTAAACAAGCTTACTGCCCTGCCAGCTGTATAAAAGAATAATAGCACATACAATTATGTGATAATTATGTACATCATACTCGATAATGATAATAAATGACTATGTTACTGGTTTATGTACTTACTATGCTACACTTTTTATCACTGTTTTGGAGAGTACTCATTCTACTTATATATAAACAAAGCTTGCTGTAAAACAGTGCGCCGTGTTATATGAGCAGCAGCCTCATACGCCTGGTGTTTACATCTTTTGATTGCATCATTTTCTTTTGTGCTTGATCTAATCTCCTGTTGTGCCATAAATGTAGCATAGCCTAAGTGTGCAGTGTTTATAAAGCCTTCAGCAATGGGCAGAAATGTCCGAGGCTGTCACAGTCACTCGCCACTCACTCACCGACTCCCCCAGAGCACTTCCGGTCCTGCAGGCTACATCCATGGTGAGTGCCTTATACAGGTGTACCACTGTTTATCTTTTCTTTTTTTTTAAATTTTATTGGGGAACAGCCATGGTCATTGGTTACACATTGCTTTCATGCTACAATGGCATAGTTGGCTCTTTTAAGGAGGGCACAGCTCACAGTGGCCCATGTGGGGATTGAACCGGCAACCTTGGTGTTATCAGCACCACGTTCTAACCAACTGAGCTCACCGTTCACCCCCCACTGTTTATCTTTTATACTGCATTTTTACTGTACCTTTTCTATGCTTAGATATGTTTAGACACAAATATTTACCATTGTGTTAGAGTTGCCTACAGTATTCACTGCAGTACATGCTGTACAGGCTTGTAGCTTAGGAACGATAGGTTATAACCATAACCTAGGTGTGGGTAGGCTGTATCATCTAGGTCTGTGTAAGTGCACGCTGAGATGTTTGCAAAATGACAAAATCACCTAATGATGCAATTCTCAGAATGCATCCCCGTTGTTAAGTGGCACGTGACTCTATACAGTAAGTGTTCAACAAATTATAGGCTCCTGCCTAGAGAGGTATAACATCAGAGGTGGGGCTCTGGAGCCAGACTGCCTAAGTTTGTATCCTAGTTCTGCTACCTAGCAGCTGTGTGACCTTGGGCAAGTTACTCAACCTCTCTGTGCCTCAGTGTCCTCATCTACGAAATGGGATAACAGTACCTGCCTCCAAGGGTTGGCATGAGGAGTAAATGGGTTCATACATGTAAATACATAAACATTAACCATGAACATTTCCTGGCCTTCCCTTCTCTCTTCCTTTCTTCCTTCTTTCCTTCTCTGCAGGCTGCTGAGGAATGAGGCAGGACTCCCGGGCGAAAGTTGTGAGAAGGTAGAAAACAATGTGATAAATAAAGCTGCCAAGGAGTAAAACCACCAGCTGTGTAAGGTACTGAGCTCCCTGTCACGCAAAGGCAGGCAGAGCCTCTCAGGGATACATAGGGGGAGATACAAGCATGGGAACAGGAGGAATAAAAAGGGCATGGGCGTGACTAGACCTCCCAGGAGCCTCCCACATCTGGAATCTGTGCCTCTTGATGACACTAGGGTCTCTGTGTTTGAGGACAGAAGCAGTGAATAAGTCCCATTATTCTGAGGAAATGAGCTTTCCTGGGTTGGCTGGGGGCACACAAATTGTGACTACTGCTCTGCAGGGTTGTTTGGCCATTCCTATTGAAGATGAAAATGTGCATCCTCATTGGCCCAGCAACTCTACTTCTAGGCATTTATCCTCTAAAAATACTTACACAAATGCAAATATATATACAGTGAATGTCCTTTGTTTATACATATAAACAAAGGACATTCACTGCAGCAGGGTTTGCAATAGCTAAATTCTGGAGGCCACCCCAACATCCATTCAAAGGAGGCTGATTAAATGCAAACCATGGAATACCATGCAGCGATGACAAAGGGCGTCTCCAGTCAGACAGAAAAAGGGGTTTGAGGCATATTGCTTAAGTGAAAAAAGCAAGTTGCACAACAAAAATCTTACTTGTAAACATTTAAGATTACATGTAAAAGTTCACACGGGTTATCCCTGGGAAACAGGACCGCAAGGAACTTCTGCCTTCTACAGAAGATATTGTTCTACATTGTTTAGATTTTTACAATGAGCACTTATTATTAATATTTTTATAATCGGAAAGAAGCTTATGAAAGATTTCTTAAAAGTGAGCACTTACTACAGTCAGCTCTCTGAGTCCCCGATTCCTTTACCTTTCTCAAGCATCTTGAGAAGGAGATATTCTTCACTCTTTATTCCAAGGAGAAGCTGACACAGAGGCAGGTTAAATACCATGGCCAAAGTCCCCCAGTCAGGGGTGACAGAGGTGACTGTAATCCCAGTTCTGGCTCACTCTGAAGCCCATACTCTTTCCCCTACATTAGGCATTAGGCAACCTTCTCTGAGGGTCAGGGAAGAGAGAAGGCAGGAGAGCAGCAGCCCAGGCAACTGGGCAGAGGGCTATGGCCTGAGACTTCAGCTGTTAGGTCCTGGGAGCCAGGCCAGCTGAGGTTAGCGTGTGCGCGTGGACAGGGCTGTCTGCCTCATTTGCAAATGCAAATACAGGCTCTGCTCCTGGCTCCAGCTCCATGCATGCCCTGAGCTGCCCCACGCTGGCAGGTGCCCGGCCCCACCCCTGGCACTACCCCCTGAGGCTGCAGGGTCACTAGGCAGGTGGGCACACACTGGGGCTCTAAATAATTTCCCATGTTGATTAACCTGTTGCGGGACGAATTTGGTGTTGAAGGTTGCTTGTCACCTTCTCAGTGAGAGCCTAGAAAGGTGATGAGGACAGCAGCGTGCGCCTGAGTCCAGATGGGCCAGTGAACAGAGCTAGAAGTCAGATGGACCTGAGTTCATCTCTCTGCTATGTCAAGCTCCAGCTCTGTGGCCTAGGGCAAGTCACTTCACCTCTCTGAGCCTCCATTTCCTCAGCTGTAAAATGATGTTGATAATTCTTCCCTGCAGCGTTGCTGGGAGAACTCAATGAGATAATGCATGTGAAAGTACTCCCTAGAAGCCACCTTCCACATGCAGGGGGTGGGGGTTAGGATCCTACACGTGTATGCATGGGGCGTGTACTTGTCTGTGCAAATGTGGGGTGAACAAAGGTCGTTCCTGGCTGGATCAGAGGGCCCTGCCCCACAAAATCAGCAAGCAGGTGGGGCAAATGTATGACACTCGTGCTGGCAGCCAGCACCGGGTTTTTGCAGCTCTGCCCGGTGGTGAGAGAGGGTGTGTGTGACTCTGTGGATGAGGATGTAGATGGCAGGAACGTGAAATGTGGGTGGGAGAGAAAGTGCTCGTGTCTGGGGCGTGTGTGGGTTTACATGCGAGCATGTTTGTATGTGTCACATCATCCACCTGCCTAAAAGCCCCTAGTGGCTTCCCACTGCGTGCAGGATCGAGACTCAACAGCCTCACGTGGCCCATGAGGCCCTGCGTGTCCATCCCACCTCCAGGCCTCTGCACACACTGTACCCTCTACCTGGTACACTCTCCCCTGTCCTCCCCCATCACACTTCACGTGCTGTGCTCTCATCCATTCTTTCTGGAACCCCTCCCCCCTCTCCAGGCTGGGACAGGCTGCTCGCACCCTGACCAGCTTTCCCAGAAGCCTGTCCTTGGCCATCACAGGTTGATCAGTTTGGTTTGCACTTGTTCCAGTGTGATTATTAAATCACTATCAGGCTCTCCTACTAGAAATGGTACCTCCTCAGGTGAGAACAGGATGTGTTAGGAGGCCTGGCACACAGTCATGCCCAGTCATGATCTGCTACACAAGTGACCGTGTATGTATGTAACTCTGTGTTCATGATAAAGCTGTCCAGACGAGAGTCAAGTCTAGGAGTGTGACTAGGGAAATTGTGTGTGTGTCTGTGGATTTGTGTAGAGGGTCATGTCAAGAACCCCTGACCTTGTGGGAGGGTGGGTCTGGGAAAGCCCGATGCATTCTGTGGCCAGTACCCACCCCTGCTGCAAGGAAGAAACCACTGCCACCACCCAGCCAGGGCAGGGACTGCTCAAGGTCACCCAGCCGGGATTCAGTGCAAGCCTGTCTGACTGCAAAGCTGGCATTCTCAGGGCCAGTGTCAAGGTCAGTGCCCAAGGCTGGGGAGCATGCTCACGTGTAAGCAGGTCTCACCTCTTGGCAGGTGGTGAGATTCCAGAGGGTAGAGTCAACACGTGGCAACTCTGTACCCTCCGCAGGGCCCAGCACATAAGATGATACGGCAATAGCTGGGATCGCTGGCATCACTCTGTGCCAGGCTCTGGTTTTAGATGTTGGCACAAATGACCACATTTAATCCCCACAACCGTCTACGAGGTCAGTGCTCTTATTGTCCTCATTCTACAGGTGAAGAGACCGAGATCCAGAGAAGTTAACCTGCACTGGACACAGCACTGGACTGACAGGAAGTAAGAAAAGTTGGAGTTGGTATTTGAACTCAGGTCTGCCCGAAAACAGAACCCAAATATTTACATGCACCACCCGAGCCTGCACACTGCCAGGATGTAGAGGCCAGCAGGGCCGGACAGACTGGGAAACTTAGTGCTGCACGAAACCTGAAGGACCGACCATCTCTGCCTCTTCACTGTGCCGAAGATGGACATGGGGAGACTGCCCAGAGATAGAGACTCACTTCCCAAGATCACACAGGAAGATAGTGCCAGTCCCAGGACCAAAACCAGCTAGAGGGGATCTTGTCTCCAAAAGCTAAAGGAGCACTTTCCTGGAAGAGGGGATCCCTCTGGTCTTGGGTCTCTCCCAGGAGTCCTCCCTAAGGACGTGGCCTTCCCCAGAAGGGGGCATCTCCTGGCCCCATAGGAAGACAGAGAGGGACAAAATGGCTTCGAGACCTGCAAGAGCTGAGCTGAACAGAGGATGAAAAGGAGGGTGGGCTAGGATCAGTGATTGTTTAGACCAAAAAGAGCAGACTTAGGGAAATACTACGTAATCCCCATCCTTATCTCATTGAAGGGCCACTGTGTGGGGTGGGAGACCAAGAGGGTGCACTTGGGCTCAGGTAGCTGGTTCCAAGTAAGGAAGAACTTTTTGATGTCTGTCTGAGCTGCCCAGTGATGGAGTAGTGAGCCTCCTGTCACTAGGAGTGAGCAAGAATGGGCCGGCCAAGGAGCTGCTAAGAGGTCGTGATGGTCTTAACCAGGGACGGTGGGCTTCAAGAGGTCCATGAAGTTGCTGCAAAAAAAGGTGCATATTTCTCAGGAGACCCCCAAAGTCTTCTTTCAATACTTAAAGGGGTCGTGAACCCAAGGAGTGGTTCTTTGCTAAGTGGGAGGCCACAGGAGGGTACCTCAAAGGTCTCTTCCATTTCCAAAGATTCTAGGAGGCTCAAATTCTCTGATGCTAAGATTTTACAAAGCCAGGAGTCTAAGACTCAGTGGTGCTGCATGTCAGTCACTGACATTATATCCAAACGCCTACCCTGCTTCAATCTGACCTCCAAATCGACCCCCTTCCTCCAAATCGACCCCCGATTTTACTCTTCCTTATCCCTCCAGCTACACTGGCCTCCTCCCTGTTCCCAGAACATACTAAGCTTGTTCCTGCCTCAGGGCCTTTGCACTTGCTGTGCCCTCGGTCAGGACTGCCGCCTTCCCTTGCTAACTGTTCCCACACCCAGCTCCTCTTATTCTTCAGGTTTTGGTTCAAATGCCACCTCCTCAGAAAGGCCTTCCATGAATCCCCCCATCATCCTCCAGCCATATACCACACGGTGATGTGCAAACTGGAGCCCGGCTACTTATGTTCAAACCTCACCCTTACCAAGAGACCCTGAACAGGTTACTTAACCCTTTTGTGCCTCAGTTTCCTCAGGCCTAAACCAGGGATAATAACAGGACGTCACAGGAGGTGGTTGGAGGATTAAATCCATCAATATATGGAAAGTGCCCTGGAACACAGCCCAGCATGCAGTGAGCTCTGGGTAGGGGCCAGCTCTTGCTTTTAAATCCAGCACGACCATCGTAGTTTGTTTTCTCGCCTATTGACATACCATCTCCCCTACTCTCCATTTTGGAGATGAAGAAATTGAGGCTCAAACAGGTGAAGTGCAGGGCCGGCCGAGTGGCTCAGTTGGTTAAGAGCTCGCTCAAGAGTTTGAGCTCTGAGCAACAGCAGTTCTAGTCCAGCCTGAGCTGAGCAGCCGCTGAGCTGCCAACAGGTAGCAGGATGGCTCAGCAAAAAAAAAAAAAAAAACAGGTGAAGTGCTGGCCAAACGAAGCTCTCTGAAGATAGGGACTGGACGTGTCTCATTTTCTGCAGCATCTACAGTCCTTAGAACTAACTGTGCCTGGCATAGAGTAGCTGCTCAGTAGTTACTTGCGGCTGAATGAAGGAATGATGAATCAATGACCATGACTCTATCACTCTGAGGCTTTGTGTAGCCAGGAGCCTGTGCACTTAAGATTCTAACTCAGCCTGCCCCTACCCACCCTAGTCCCAGAAGACCCCCCAGCTCAACCAAGGTCCCAGCCTCTCTCAGAAGTGGCTGCTGGAACAGGAGGGCTAATAAGCTGAGGACCAGCATCCATGCCTCGATCCCCAGTGGGACCCTTTACCCCAGCTGGGCCAAGGGGATGAGGCAGGAGCTGCCTTGGCATTCACCTTGGGGGATTCCTGCCCAGAGTTTTGGTGGCAGGTATGGGCTCAAGAAGCGGCTGCTCGCTCTGCCATCCTGTGCTCTGCCAGCTGCCTGCCGGGGGCCTGCCCACTAGATGCATAATAGATGAGGAGGCCCAGCGGGCTGTGCCTGCCTGGCATTTCAGAGACACTAATGAGGCCAGCCTGGGCTTCCTGCAGTGGTACACAGACCCCCAGGGCCTGTGCCTCGGTGATGACAGAGAGAAACCACCTGAGGACAGGGGCCGCCCACCCAAGCCCCCTACTTGGCACAGGCAGCATCTAGGAGAGCGAGAATTAAAGGAACGGCCTCAGGTTGACCACTCTGCCAGTCTTGGTTCACCACCCATAGACTGTATACCCCTGAGCCTCAGTGTCCTCATCTGTAAAATGGAGGGAGAGAGGTGGTAATAGTCTCTACTTTGTAAAGCTGGTATAAGGATGGAATGAAATAATTCAGATGAAGTGTCTGGCCCAGGGCCTGGGACTCAGGAAATGCTTCATAGATGGGAGCAACTGGTACCATTACTGGCAAGGGTAGATAACTCAGTGACCAGGTGGGCCCTCGTGGTGGGGCAAATGGAGCTGGGCCGTGACCCCTGTTTCGGAGGTATGTGGGGTCATCTCACTCTCCCCCAACCACCTTAGAACCAGGACTTCCCTCATTCCCATGGCGTCCCTGTCTCTGGCCAAGGTCCCTTCCTTGGCAGGAAAACAATCTGGTTTCAAACGCAGCCCGTGCCAGCTCTGTGACTTTGGGCCAGAGCCTTCACTGCTCTCAGTCCTGGTTTGGTCCTCTAAAATGGGGACACAGCTTAATGACCACAGTCAAATACCCAGCACACTGCTGGCACTTAATCCTTGCTGGGTCCAGCGTCCTCCTCCCAGGCTCCTAGCGTTAAAGTCAAAGTTGAGCCTCCTCTTCCCAGGATATTTCCAGAACCCCCCTTCCCTGCACAACTGCATCTTGCCATGCTCCCATCCTGGCACTGCTCCACCTCCTTCTTTCCCCACCATTTGAAGCCACCTTAAATGTCCATCCCCCAAGAGGGCTGCAGAACCAGAGTCATCCACCGTCCCACTGGCCCTTAATCCTCCCGCAGGGCCTCAATTCTATGACATTTGCACACTTGTTCTGGGCTTCTCCATTGCAGGTAACTTGCTGACAAGGGACAGGGAGCAGGGGAATCCAGCCCTGATCACATCTGGCCTCTACCAGCCCTCACTGCTCCCCTGATCTAAGTCCCAATCTCTTAACTAGTTTTTTTAAAAAGGGAAGGGGGAAGCCACACCTCCTCCAGGAAGCCCTCCCAGCCTACTTGACAAAGTGTCACCTGTTCCACTCTCGGGACACATTCAATTCAATGTCACAAACATTCATTAAGCATTCACTGGGTTCGGGTAACTGTGTGGAGAACAGAGAGATAAGGAGAGTACAGCCCAGCTTTAATGGAACGCATGCTGGAAAGTGGGCTTCAGTGAAAAGTAACTCAAGCAACCCCTGCTTTCAAGGACCTCAGAGCCTGCCTCGCACCGCAATGTGATGTGGACACGTTCATCTCAACTGAGGTTAATTCACTGGAAGATCCAATTCCACAAATACTCACTGAGCATCAAGTGGGGCACAGAGAGGGGAAGTGACCTGCCCAAGGTCACACCACTAGTATGTGGCAGAGGCAAATTCAAATACCTATCTGTCAGGCTCCGAAGGCCACGCTGTTCCCACTGCCCCAGGAAAGAGCGCTAATGTGTGCTCTGCAGGCGTGGTAAGCAGGAGGGGAGGTATGCTAAGGAGAGAAAGATAGGGTGTGTGGAGGGAATAAGGAAAGAAAACACTCAACAGTGACAACGGTGGGGTGGAGGTGTGGCAAGGGCTTGTGGAAATGGAGAGGGCACAGCAAGGGGAGGGGACAATGTGAGCAAAAACACGAAGATGGTGCTCACCGGGACCATATTCCCATCGACCAGAAATGAGGGGCACAGGAGAAGTTAGTCCCAGGCTAGAAAGGGAGGTGGAGACAGGCCTTGAATGCCTGGAAATCATAATTAATAATCAAAATGACCCTCATTTTACACTAATTCTATGCCGGGCACAGGCTGGAAGCTATGCAATTGGCTTCCAGGGGTGGAGGTGGAAGGGAGGGCATAGGGGTGAGCATCTTGGGGTTAGCAGCTCTAACAAGGAGGGTGTAGGGCAAGGCATTGTGGGTAATAGGCAAGTCCTGGTGATTGCATAATCTTACTTTATAGGTATGTCAACCGAGGCCCAGAGTGGGGAAGGGGCTTGCCCAACATCACACAGCAGGTTAGTTACTATCAGTCCTGGACCCTCATCTCTGACTCTCCTTTCAAGGCTCCCTAGAGTGGGCTTTCTGGGTCACCCCTCCATCTTCAAGTCTTCCCTCAAGTGCATTCCCTTAGCCCTGCGCTGTGGCCCGGAGGCCCTGGGACAGGGTGGGGAAGACTCTGGGCTCTGCAGAGCCTGGAAGACTAAGACTCAAATCCCAGCTCTGCTACTGACTAGCCGTGTGACCTTGGGCAGGTCACTTCCCCCCTCTGTACATCATTGTTTTCATCTATAATTAGAGATAACAGTCCCTAACTCGGGGATGTGGGAAAGATTATGTGAGATGATACCGTTCAACCGCCCAACAGTACCTGGTACACAGCATGTGCTGAATAAATGGCAGTTGTTGGGATATTGTTACTGAACTTGAAGGAAAAGATGGAGTCTTCCTCACCTCACCCTACCCCTGCTCTGGGCCTAGCACACCGTCTTGCACATAGTCAAGGCTCAAATCTACTGGCCACAGCAGCAGGCCATAAGCCCAGAGAGGGAGAGTAACTGGCCCCAGGTTACACAGAGAGCATCAAAGGAAAATAAAAGGGCAGGCCCCGGAGCTCAGCCTGGGCACTCCATGTGCCTCCCACCCCACGTGTGGCTTCCAGGAGACTCTGGCAGCAGGTAGGGCAATGGTGCCAGATAGGAGTTATCCAACAGCTGGGGGGCACTGCAGGGCCCAGGGACCCCAGGAAGCCCTCAGCAGGGGCAGGAAGCAGGAGACAGAGCAATTGGGGGCTGTCCTGCTGGAGATGAAGTGATAGCAAAAGCAGCCAGCCGGGCCCATGTGATGCTGGTGCCAGGGAAGCAGGGAGGTGCCCGCCTGCTGGGGCCCAGGGGGTGCTGTGAATCCCAGGGTGAGGCTGCACCTCCACCCACCGCTCTCCGTGTTGGGGAAGCTGCAGACACAGCTGCCTCCTTCTCTCCTCCTCCAAAGAGAGGGCAGCCTCACACTTAGGAAATGGGCTTGAGGAGAGGGTTCTGAAGGCTGTGTGTGGAGTAGGACTAGAGGGTTTGGGGGTCAGCAAAATGGCTAAGGGCACCCCCAGCCCAGCCCGAAGCCACCATGAGGTGGGAAGGAATAGAGAAGAGACAAAGGAAGAAAACACTTTCAGTGAGGGCCTACAATATGCCAGGCCCTGTTTTAGTTTTTTTGTTTGTTTTACAACGCTATACTCTGTTAAACAGGCATTTTAATCTCCATTTCACAGACAAAAACACTGAGTTTCAAAGGGCCGGCTGAGTGGCTCAGTTGGTTAAGAGCTCGCTCAAGAGTTTGAGCTCTGAGCAACAGNGTTGGTTAAGAGCTCGCTCAAGAGTTTGAGCTCTGAGCAACAGTGGTTCGAGTCAGCCCGAGCTGAGCAGCCGTGAGCTGCCAACAGGTGGTGGGATGGCTCAGCTAAAAAAAAAACAAACAAACAAAAAAACACTGAGTTTCAGAGAGGTTAATGAATTGCTGCAGGTCACACAGGCAGTGGCAGAGTTGACATTTAATTAGATTTGCCTAACTCCCAGGTGGAGCTCTTGAAAGAACTGTGGGGGAGGCTACCTGGGGGCAGAGGTGGTAGAGGGCCCACCCACCCCATCACCTGGAGAGGATGGTTGGAGGGTTGGTGGGGTCTGGTTTGGCATTATAAGTGTGGTAATGGTTTGGGAGTGTCCCCAGGGTCTAGCCAAGCAGCTCAGACCCTCCTGAGGGCCCCCAGTACTTACCACACACTCCGGCGAGGCGTGAAGGACTTGTCCACCCTGAAACACAGCAAGAGGGGTAGCAGGTTAGAGGGCAGCCCTATCTTACCCAACCTTGCCCAGCATATCAGGCCAAACCCACTCACCCCTGCCCTCCCAGAGGGGCCTCGAGGAGGTGCCAGATGCATTGTCACCAACCCCCATAGGCTACCGGGGCCCTAATGTCAGATTAGGGACATGGGAAGGTGTGGGGTGAAGGAGTCAGGAAAAGAGGCAGGACTGGGGACACAGGGGTAGGGGAACAGGGGCCTGGGACCAGGAGATGAGGTGGCAGCAGGGGTGGGGGTCAGTGTGGGAAACCCCAGAAACCCCAGGTGGAGTGGGACAATGACCACAACAGTTGGGGGTCAGAGCAAGGATGTGGGGTGTGGCTAGGGCCAGCTTAGGGTGTTTCCAGACAGGACTGAAGGGTGTGGGTATTTAGGAAGAACACCTCCCCGGTTTCTCAGCAGCCTGCCTTGATCCTGGAGCTGGAGTTCACTCATAGCCACCAGGGGACAAGAGCCTGGGAATCTGGGAGCAGGAGATCCACGGGGAGCTTCCTCTCCGGCCCCGCTCACAGCACACACGCACCCTGCCCCGAAGCAGAGCCAGAGAAGACCTCACGCCCGCCGAGTTCAGGGGCCACCCCTAGGCTTTCTATCCCCCTAATACCTTCAGGTTCTGTCTCCGAGGGAGAGTGTGGGCAGTGTCCCCTCCCAGATTCTCCCCCCCCCCAAAACCCTCTTGGAGGGCACCTTGGGGTTCGGGAGGGCTGGAGAGGGCTCCACCATCTTGCCCAGCAGGGGCCAAGGGGCTCAGCAGTTGTTGGGACAACAAACAACTCGGCTCCTGCGCAGAAGCCAGAGGAAAATGTGGAAGGGGCCCTAAACCAGACTCTGCCAGCTAGGGGGTGTCATCTGGGGTGGGGGGCAGGACTGGGGGCTCCCAGGGATCAGCTAATGTGGACTCTCCACATGGAGAAAGCGAGGCCAGAGATGCCAGGACTTGCCCAAGGTCACACAACAGAACCCAGGTCACTCCCTGGGCCGCCTCTAGTGTCAGCTGACCAGGGATCTCAGGGCTCAACCCAAACTCCTCTCTTCACTTGATGGCTAGCAGCACCCCGGACAGAGAAGGCAGCCCACCCAAACCCTCTGCTGGGGTCCCCTTGGAGACTGGGTGTCCAGAGAGGGGAGGCACCTTGGAAACAATCCCCAAAGCTCAAAGGGCACCTAGTCTACACCAGCAGCATTACATGTGTGAGCCCCAATTGCTCTGCACCCCAAAGTTGTGTGTCCCTCTTATTACGGGGAGGCAGGGCCTGGTGAAGGTTATGTCAACTACTTGGCCAGCCATGAAAGGGTCTGTGACCCCAGTCTGTCTACCCAGTCTTCCTTCCTATTTACCAAATCCCTGCCTAAGACAAGAATCCCCCAGCACCCCTCTGCACCCCTCTGAGGTGGGCATTTGGGGTCAAGAAGGATAGTGACCCAAAGAAGGGTCAGCCACCACTCTGACTACTTCCCCCCAGGTCTCCAGGCCCAAGCAGCTCGCAGCCCTGAGAAGAAAGGGTCCCTGAGAGCCAGGGGGCCTGAGACAGGGGCAGCCCAGGTGCCCAGGGGTGGAGGGACCTGCCATCTGACATAGCTTCTTGAGGCCCTTCTTCGAAAGCCTCAGTGCAGGGGCCCAGTAGTTTCAGAGGCCAAGTGGGGGCTCCTTCAGGGCCTCCCCTGACCTACCTCTTCCCACCCCCACTATACATACACCCAGAAGTGCACACACAAGCGCGCGCACACACACACACACACACACACACACACACACACACACAGAGGCCCAGCTTCCTGTCTACACAGTGGTCGTGCATAAGCACTGCCACGCACTTGAGATACAAACACAGAAATGCCCACCCTTGCGTTCACTACCCCACACGTATACACGGACACCCAACAGGAATACACACACAGACTGACCAACACTGCACGCCACAGGCATCAAACAGCTCGCCTCACACACAAGCACAAATTCACAACTACGTACAGAACCACAAGAGCCCAAGCCGGTGCACAGACGGGCGCACACGCACACGTGCACACGCTCGCGCTCCCACGGCGCACCCTCGCGCGCGCGCGCGCGCGGGCGCCCCCACCCGGTGCACCTACCCTCCATAGGCCCCGAAGGTGAAGCTGCGCTTCCGGCAGCTCATGGTGCCGCCGCCGCCGCCGCCCGCCTGCCCATCTGGCCGGTGCGGAGCAGGAGCCGCCTTCCCCGTGCCCGGGTCACCTTGGCAACTAGGGCTGCCCCGCCCCCGGCCACAAGCCCCGGGATTGTCCGCGCCCCCGCAGGCTGCAGTCCAGCTGCGGCGGGCAGCCGCGCGCAGAAAGGGCCGCTTGTTCGCGCCGCCCTCCGCCCGGGGGCGGGAGCTTCGCTGGACTTTCCCAGCTGGGGTTTCAGGGCCGGGCGTGGCCACCTTCGCGGTGGCGAAATGGGGTACAGGGTGGTGGTGGGGGGGAGGTTGTGGAAGGCGGGGGCCTGGCGGTAAGACGGGACTGACTCTTCACCCCCAGACGAGCTGCAGTCTCTCTTCTAGGGGCGGCACCCTCTTCCATCTCCCTAGAGCCTTAGCTGTCAGTGGATCTGTCACCGTCATCACTAGGTCGGAGTTCATAGCAGGTCGGGTCAAGAACTTGGAATCCAGGGTCAAATGGTCTGCACTGTGGGCAGGTCCCTTCCCACCCTGTAGGTACCTCAAATTTCCTATCTGTAAAATGAGACTAATCTCCTCGACCCCAGGGCCCTTGTGGTAATGGAATGAGTTCATGCACGCAGAGTACTCAGCCCAGGCCTGGCACAGTAAATGCCCACGACCAGCTACGAAAGTCCTGCACTATAGGTGAACAGCTCTGCTCTTCAGGCAAATGAGTGGGTAAAAGAAGGACTAGTGTCTCCAACAGCCCTTCTAGTGCCCACTCTCATCCCCCTCTCCCAGGAGTCCACCCCCTCCCCCCGGCCCTCCCCACACACACACTGCCTAGGTGAGGAGGGGGGGCAAAGGGGCACGAATGGAGATGCCCCACTCTCTTCTTGAAAATTCATCCAGCCTGGGTTCCCTCACTCGGCAACACTGGGCTCTGAGTCCTAGAGTGGACCACGCATTCGCTCCACAAACACGCTGAGCCCCATCCTGTGCACCCAACTCATCCAGGGCTCAGTCCAGTCTACCCCACAGAGGCTGTCTCTCCTGCCCCAAGTACAGATGTGTCGGGAAATGGGGGACACCGGCCCTGCCCCCAGGACTCACCTGCCCCTCCCTGAACGCCCTTTCTGCCCCCCAAAGAGGGAGGGATTATTCCCCACTGCCCTGCACCCAGAGAAGCCCCCAGGGCCTTGAAGTTTTCTGTTTAAAACGACTGGAGGGAACAGACACAGTGGAGGGATGAAGGAGGAAGGACGACCAAGGGCACAACGAGAGGGTGGCAGGGATCCTTCAGAAACCTTTCAGGAACTATTCCGCCTGGGCCCTGGGCCCGCGCTGAGTTAGTGCCATTTTCCCCTGGGAAATGACTGGGCTGGGTACAGGGCTCCACAGTTTGCTTCACTCAGGCACAGTTAAGTGGGGCAGTGGTTTCCCCATTTCAGATGAAGACACTGAGACTTTGGTTCACAGCAATCACCTCTCTCTTGAGGGGTCCACCCCAGCCCTCTCTCTGCCCGCACCCTGGACCCCTTCTCTGCACACTCTGGTGGGCAGAGGAGCACACAAGAGCCCCTAGCAGAGTTCAGAGTCCAGGCAGAGCAACTGTGATCTCCTCACCCCTAGAACTACCCCCTTGGTTTGGTTCTCAGAGGAGGGTCTGATCCTTCTTGGCAGGGTGCTCTGGAGGCCAGGGCAGATTCCTGGGTGGAGGGACCACCCCAGGGCAGTGTGGGAAGCCCAGTCCTCACAGGGCAGTCCAATAAGGCTCTGAGGGGTGATTCTGGGAGCACTGAGGTTGGCCGGAGGAGGGAAGAAGTCTTTGCTTCCTGAGTGGTAGCAGCAGCAGTGGAGCCCAGAAAGCTGGGGGGAGGGTAGGACCAGGAGCTGGAATTGGGCAATGGCGGGTGGGGGGGGGCATGCATAGTGCCAGGGCTGGGACCCCGGACTCCAGCCCCACCCAGTCGGCTGCATCCCCTTGAACATGGCCCTCAGCCTTGCCAGTCTGTCTTTTCAGTGAAAATGATTCCTAAGTAGGCTCTGCATGTCCACTTGGCAGGGTGGCCAAGGGGCCTCCAATGTGCCAAGTTTCCCAGCCTGGCCTGGCCCCTGGGATGACCTGCTGCTGTTGGGACAGTGGGCCCTTGAGAAGGGCCATGGGGGCTGCAGGGTTCCCACTGAAGACAAAGAGCCCAGTGTAGGCTCCCGCCTCCTGGGCTCAGACCAGCTGCAGCTGCCTCACTGGCGAGAGCTGGGGGTGGGGTGGGGGTGGGGGTCACGTTCCCTCAGCTAGGGATGCACAGGACACTCCTTGACCAGCCCCTGGTCCCTTGGGCAACAGTGGAATTTAAATGCACCTTCTTAACCAGCGAGGCCACTTCCAAGAATTTAGCCTCCACATCATGGCATGTGAGCCTGAAGATGAATGACCAAGGACAAGGGACAGGAAAGCACACGCTTATATCCTCATCCTTGTGACACCCTCCCCTCCCGCCCCCTGCCCCAGGGTTCAAATCCCAGCTCTCCCACTTGTCAGCTGTGTGACCTTGGGCAAGTCTTAATCTTTCAGTGCCTCAGTTTCTTCATCTTGCAAAGTGGGGTTGATGAAGGGTTCAAAGGGTTTTGCCAAGGATTAACTAAGTTAATACTTGTAAAGCCTTGAGAATAGTATTTGAATAGATGTGTTTGTTAAACAAAACAATTGCTGCAGCATCCTTTGCATTAGGCTGGACTATATGAAATCACGATTTTTGTAGAGTTAGCAAAGATTTATAGTAAGAGTTCCAAAACAAACTAATGGCCAGCCAGAGGGAATCGGACAAAT